TCCTCATTCAAATTAGAAGTGTTTTTTTATCTTCAATCACTTGAAGACATCTCTTATTTGAATTTGTTGCATCAATAGGAGTTCGTTCTTGTAGAAATTTGAAAACTTAAATTTGATGTTCAAATTTTATCTCTCCAACTCTTAATTTCTTTACCTTTTCACTCTCCAATACAAAGATTTTATCTTTCATGTCTTGTGACTTGATATGTATATTTAAAATTGTTCTCAACTCTTTCATTTCTACCATGATTGCATTGAGAAGTCATTTATATCAATTGATGTGTTCATGCTTTCTCACTCTCATTATAATATAAGTTAAGTATTATAGTTATCCCAACTGTCAATAAAGAATTCACAAAAGGTGTAGATGATTTTGTAACGACTCTATAATACTTTTTCCTATAATTTTGCACAAGAAAAATTTTCCATAATTTCTTTTATCTATATATTATTCTAGTCTTTACATAAATGTTGAACCAAACCAGAACATGTGGGTTGCATTTTAAATCCATCAAACATTTGGTATAAAATGTATATAGTATAATTCCAAATATCTTCATAACTAGTTATTTGAAGTATCAATTTCAATCTCGACTTCATTATTTTAGTTGTAAATATTACATCCAAGAAGTCACAATATACATCCAAAAATGATGTTTCTCCATGCAACAAAAATGTACGTCGAATAAATTAGAAATCATATTAAACCTCTCCATATCTGCAAAAACACAAATTTCTACTCTCCACTTTTCTCTACATGCAAATCAATAATATCCGCCAACCTCTATACAATCTCAAAAATTAAACTTTATCACCATTCACTATTATTTCATGAGAATTTATCCAAAGTCAATAAAAGAGCAAAGTATTACTTATACCATTGTAGCACTAGGTCTTAAGGAAAAACTTACTTGAACAGCAAACGTAAACTCTAAAGGTGAAAGATACCAACAATGATTTTACACTTTCTCATATACATCTTATTAACGAGTACAAAGAGATAAAATCTCAAGTTTTTCATCTTTTTTTCCTAATGTATGATTTCTTTAAAATATTAAATAAAATAAAAAATATTTCCTGAAAAAATTTGACATTTGAGATTGATGTGATATAAATGTATTATTGGAAAAAATATCAATTTTTTAAACACAATTATGATAATTTTGAAGCTATATCTTATCAAATGTATCTATAAGTTGAATCATTGCATTTTTTATCACTAAGAGAGAAGCAATTGAGTAAGTTGAAAATAGGTTCATTTGAATTGATTAAATTCACAAAAAAACTCAAAAAAAAGATACACTTGTCTTTAGATTTCACACATGAAGAAGTGATCATTTTCACATGAAAAAAAATAAAATTGATACAAGTTGGTATGTATTTAGATTTGAAGACATATACATAATTTTAAGACCTATGATTGCAATTTATCTTAATATTTTTAGTTATAAACATTTTATGGCAACAAAAACAATAAAGGTTAGACAATTGGTTAGATTTGTCTATCGTAAAGATGAAAGTACTTCATGTCATAAGAATTTTTATTTTGATAATTAACAAGCTTTATATTTAATTGTATATTGATAAATAATATTTTGAATCATATATTAACGTTTGTTATCATAATTTTATAAAATGATGATCTTTACTTCCTCATGTCTTTATCAAAAAATTTAGATAGTTTTTCAACATCTTATCATTTGCTGCATGTTGCATTAAATATAAATAAAGCAAAATACTAATTTTTTTAAATCTAATTTTCATCATTTGGCTAAAATTTAAATCCAATTATTTATATTTTCAAACGGCTTTCATTTTCTTAAAATCTGATTTATTTCGAAGTAGTCATATAAATTTGCAATTTACAGAACGAAAAACATGAATGAAAGGAAAAAATTTTGGTATTGAAATTAAGTTTTTGATAATCCAATTACTGAAATTATGATTAGTTTGAACTATTTTTTGTAAATCTAGTGGCTAGCATTCACTTTTTTTGGCACAAATTAAATATTCATTACAAAAATTTATGTTTCATGAATTTTTTGCTAAATTTCATCATGAATTTATTCTGTTGCTTTTAATATGTATGCTTGTCATGATAAATATTGATTAGATATATATAACATATATCTAATACATGTAAATTTTACTTTTTTACAATTATTTTAAATATTGTGAAAAAATTATTTATCATTTTAAAAATAATTATTATGTAAATATGAAATGATCATTCCAAGATCTTAACTTATGAACTTAATAAAAAATCTTATTCATGATAATATGATGACATATTAATTATAATTTTAGTTGTATGTTTTCAGAAAATTAATTCAAGTTGATTTTTATAATTCAAACTTTGAATTATATAAAAAATCTAATAACATGTAAAGTAATAAAAATGCTTCTATATATATATATATATATATATATATATTCAAGTTTTTGAAATGAAAAAAAAATTATGCATTAAAATTTTTTCCAAATTTACAAATTCTGTAGGTTTAATCACTTGATGAAGTTGTTTTTCAAAAACTTCATAATAATATGGTAGAAAATTCTCTACATGTATATTCAAAGTATAAAAATAATCATCATACTTGATTAAAATAAGCAATGATGTTTAAAAAAATTGGAAACTAATTTTCTTGTTCAATTTTTTGAGTAGCAATATATTGGAGCACATTGATTCTTTAACATATTTATTTCTTGAACTGTTGTTCATCTTTTTTCTTTGGAAATACATAATGACTTGTGAAAATATCATAATGACATGTTTTGTGTGAAAATTGTAATCAACTAAATAAATGAATATTAGTTTCTATTAGGATTTATACACAAAAAATTATCTTTGAAAAAAAATAAAAATAAACTAAAAGATTTTGTTTAAAATGATGACCTTGGGACTTACTTCTTCCGCACTTTCTTTAGTTAACCCGTAAAATCGTAGCTACATGTTTTATGTGAAGATTGTTAAAACTAAAGAAATCAATTGTAGTGTCTATTAAGATTTATACACAAAAAATTATTTTTAAAAAAATTAACTTCAAAAAGATAAACCTTAAGATATAGGTATTTTATGTTTTTTAAAGTTGAAAAATGTAAGTAGTATTTAGGATTCTACCTTTGATTCAATGTGTTACAACCATCTATAATTAATATATATATATATATATGAAAATTATCAAGCACCATACTTCACTTGTATTACAAAATAAAGATTTTGAAGAACATTTTTTTTACTATAATTATTATTGTATAAATTTTTAAATTACGATAAATCATATCAATTCTTGATCATTCAAAAAAAAATATATATATATATATATATATTATTACAAAATATATCAAAGATATTTTTTTAAGTCTTTCTCATATTTCATTTATTTAGTTGGAAATGTTCTTATTATATAAATTTTTTATTTAAGTAATGAAATGTACAGAGAATGACAGTTTCTCATATTACTTGCAATGTTTTAGCTCAAATCCTTAAATTCATTTTGCTAGAGATATCTAGCGGTGTCAAAGTATACTTTAAATGATATATTTTTTCAGATTTGGCTTTGATAAAAAAAAACTGTTATTCATCTTCATATTTGCCAAGCAAATAGCATGAATATGATCTTCACATTCTAAGGAGTAGTTTTTCAGCGTGGAAATTCATGTTTATTGAAATTTGGACTCTAGTGTTCAGTACAAATTTGAAATTATGTAATTCAATATGACTGTTTGTCCTTCTTATTATGTTAAGATTCTTTTAGAAGATCATAAATATTATCCCAAACTGAAATTTTTTAGCTTTGAAGTATGATGTACACATTGCATCTGGAAGAATTGTACAAATGAAGGGATTGAATCTATGACATGTTTTGTAGTGTTAATTATATTTTAGAAAATTGGGTCATCATATTTTGGATAGGGCAAAAATTCTGTCTTAGTTTTCATACTATAAAATTAAAATTTAAACTGAAATCAATTACTTTTATTTATTCAAATCACTTTTATTGCATGAGATTTCATCCATGGATAAATATCAACTTAATCTGAAACCCGTAATTAATATGTCTTCTTGCAATTTCCAAAAGATTCACATTGCATCGACTGTCTAGCATAATTGCATTTACTTTACATACTTATTTTATTACAAGAAATACTAGGTTCTTTCAATAAAACATATTTTGAATCTGATCATCATCAAGTAGTATACGATTCCGAAAAAATAAAAAACATCTCCAGTGTTCTATTTATGACAATTTAAGTCACAACAAAAAATCAGATAGAGAGCATGTTTAAGTTCATTGCAATATTATGTGGAAGTGCTCTCGGTGCCATCCCACGCAGGACTTCGGCAACACGGGTTGACGGTGGCGAGCAATGCTCAAGACTTTTCCATTCCAGGAAAAGTCACATTCTCTAAGTCATGGCGTCACATCGCTCATAGACCTGCACTGACTGGGAACCAAAGGCACCGTGGGTCTCAACCACCCCCCCGCGGCTTGGCAGCTGGGTGTGTTGAAGGTCATTCCGAACTTTGCTACAATACTTCGCTTTTCCAAATTGCGAAAACATCAGTCAAAACTAGTTCAACAAAGCATGGTATTATTGAAAGATGGGGTTCCGAAATGAACAATTTTGCATGTCGTTCAGTCCGTACTATACCCAAGTTCGTGCCGCGTGAATTGATCAATTCGAAGTGGGTACAAGGGTCACAAAAGTTGTACACGGATAGCCCTTGGAAAGGGACGAGTTAGTTATGTGGTACACACATGCAGAATTCAACACTGTCGGTGATTTACTATTCCAGAAAAAGACTGGTCTGTAACGAACTGTGTTCAACGATTTCATACTCTACTCTGATCAGTAACTTTAGAGTTAACGTTACCTTCCAATTTCGTACCAGTGGCGACTTTACTTGTGGAAATTGCAAACTTTTCATCTTTATGATACTTACAAATCCTGCTCTTCAAAGTAACTTCAATCAATCTATCGGTAGTTGTCCACGTTTCAAATATGATTTTCCTACGACATTCGAGGTTCTTACTGCTGGACTATACAACATCGAATTGGATTGTGCAGCATCATGTGCTCTGGCCCAGAACTCGGAGCAAAAATAGCAATCTCCACCATAAAGCAAGCGTGGGCTTATCGATTCCACCACGGAAGCGACGTTACATTGATTAAAAGCTCACTCATTCAATCATGGCAGAGTAGATGCAAACCCATATTTCTTTCAACTCTAAATTCGGCTTCGCGGCAGAGAATGCTGCTCTTGGAATCTCCATATACTCGCCAACTCGTGGCGTAAAAAATACAAGCTCTTCACATCATAGAAGAGAAGAAACACTCCATCTGGGCACTAAAGCTAATGGCCTCCAAAGAGGAGATTTCGCAGGACCAAATCTATATGGCGGAGGGAGACGGTGGCAGTTAAAAGTGTAGGCGTGAATAAAGCCAATCTTGCTTGTATGATCATCGACGTGTTACAAGACTAGCAAACCTGCCAGACGTTTCCTGTCTTAATTTATACACATGAATTTAGTTCGGCACAAAGCCCGGTGGGGAGGAGTAAAAATTTACAGCTAGGAGCAAATCTATGAATGTACAGTTGTGTTGACATGGCTGCTTAGTATTTAAAATTGGGCCTCAGGATTATGGTCAAAAAGCTCAGAATCAAAAGATGAGAGTCCTGTGAGTGAACTGCCTGTAGAGCAATGCTTTTGAAGAAGCACATCCACATCCTCCAAGCTGACCCCCGTGTAGACTTGCGCATTGTCACCTTCTTCGTCTTGAATGCGGATGCTCACAGCAGATTTGCAATTCTTCATGCACTTGCAAGCACTGCTGGTGACTCCTGGCTTGCCTGCCTCCTGAAATGCAGCGAGTATCTCCCCGGCACCTGCTTTCTTGCACTTGCCCCCCATACAGACCTCTACGTGCGCTGAGGCGGGTTTTAGTGCAATGGCAGAGAAGTCGTCAATTATGTCTTCCACGACGGCCAGACCGGCTACGGTGACCAGCGAGTGAGAGAAAGCTGAGGCCGGCGATTCTGCCGTGCTCGATGGTGCTCGTCCTGAAGCTGGATCCTCGACCATTGGCGGCGGCGGTCGGGTCGTCGGCAAATTGAACGACTTTTGTAAATGTTCGATGGTGACAGAAATGGGTGGTTCGATTGTGAACTCCGGAGTAAAGCGAGGAATGGAATTCATCAATTCGGACCGCGACATTTCTTCCCACTCCTTCCTGAATTGTTCTACGTCAAATTTCCGGCCTTTCCGCAATTCTTTCGGTTGTTCCGACTCTGGTTTCAACTCCTCACGAAATCTTCCGACTGTTCTCATCTCTTTCCGCTCAAGCACAATCACCCCTCCCTTTTCGCAGTCGCTGGAATCCGACTCAGAGGATGAACTCGAAGAGGATGACGACTCCATTCGCTTACCAGCCTTCATCTTCTGCATCTTTTTTCTCTGCTTACAATCGTCCATACCGCCCAACCGACCTTCAAAATTCGGCATCTCCTTTCCCAACTCCTTCGCCGAACGCTTGTTCATCTTCTCCTTCCTCGAACATTGAACATTCAAATAAAACTGAACGTGTCCTTGATCCTGGAAATCAGTTGTAAAAGCCGAACTCCGCAGAACGGTTCCTGAACTGAACTCCTTCCGAGCTGGAAGTGCAAGGGCTTTCGATTTGCACGATGTAAACTCCACTCTACGAGGTGTGGAACAAACAGCCATACAGCCCATGCTTGCTGCTGCCACCACCGCCTCCATCGTGAAAGCTCCGCGCGGGTCAGTCAGGCCAGACGAATCAAGACCACGAACTGCAACTCTGATCTATCAGAAAGAGCCACCAAAACAAGCGGACGCTTCACGGATTCAATCTCAACTTATCATCTACCGGCTGCTTCAGCAGAGTTGAAGAGACCTTCGCCCTCTGTACACCACCACTTCGCTCGCTTCTCTGCGTGATTCTCCGCGCTGTAATCTTGCGTGCACTCTGTCACATAAGAGCATGAACCCACCGATCCGCTAGGCCACAACAGCCGCAGGAATTGAAGAACAGTTGCTCTTTGCCACTCCTTGCGCGTGCATGGATGGTCGAGCTGCAGTTGCGAACGATCGAGTGAGCAATGCCGAGCCGCTGCAACATGTAGCATCACACCAATTTCGGGCTCTATCAACACGTCGACACAATTGTACCAATTCTTGGAAGGCTCGTCACGGTAACGAGCTGCCCACGTTCGCGGAAGGGGGTGGACTCGCGTCGGCAACTGCCGGCAAGTCGACTATATTATTCGCAAGACCGGGCAGCTGGGGGCAGCTGGTGAATGTATCTCGACCGATCTTGTGGCTAATCTCGAAGTTAGAAACGATTAATGTCTAGGACGAAGATCCGGGCAGAGGGAGGGGGCATCAGGCAGGTGACGTCGGGACAGCTCCGGCAGGCATGAGGGAAACACGAAATACTACACACATTCGTGTGGCTCCACACTCTGAACCTGCTACGTCCACGCTCTCGCACACGCCTTTTACGTACTACCACCGTACGATCTGATCTAACGATCTACCTTAATCTTATGTGGAATGGCACTCCTATGCTGTCAGTGGCGGCTGCCACCGCGGCGGCATATTCTAGAGTCCCTTGTTACGACTTGTCGTGTCACGGGTATGACGGGTTTTCCATCTCCTTGTTATTTTAGTTTGTTCTCACGTGTCTGAAGTCCAAGTCGAATGGCCGGGCCACAAGGCATTGTTCTTAAATGTCTATCGTTACACTCGAGTCTTCCCGTCCTTTTCTTCTGAATTAATAGGTTCTCACTGTAAACTAATCTGCGTTGAAAAAAAAATTTTTACAATATATATATCATAACTCATATATATATATTCGGGAGAGATTTGCTTGATGAAACTAAAATAATCCGTTTGATGTGACCCATGAGGTTTAGTTTTAACTCATGGTATCCAATTATGATTGATAATTACAATGCGGGATTATAATCAGAGATCAATATTTGATTATAATTTCTGTTGGATTATCATGGGAATAAATATCGATTTTGCTCGAAGTGCAATTTGTTGTGTTTCAATTCTCCCGATTGCAGAGATTCTCGGAATTCTCTTCTGACTCCGCCTGCACACTACTTCCGTAACCATGCCTATGCGACGAGTAGCTCGTACTGGAAAGTGGTCCGAACTCAAGTCTCCCTGTCAACCATTTGTGGCAAACATATAAACTCCGGATGAGCATTTCTTTGCTTGTCAACTGGGGGAGTGGCCGGATACAGAATGACAAAATGAAAACAAGTGAGTGTGATGGAGGTCTAAGTACCATCAAGCAAATTAATTTCGGTAGGGTCCCATCAAGCAAATCTCTAGTGAGTTTGATTCCGAATAAAGATTGGCAGCATGATCTTGTGAAACACAAAGAATAACCAGATTTTCATGCCAAAAATTATTTGATATACCATTCATTTAAAATTTATTCATCCAAAATAAAAACGAAGCATTTAATTGACATAATTAGCAATGATTTTTAAATTTATGATGAAAGACTTTTGTATGTATTATTCTATAGGTTATTTTTATTCAAAATTATCATGCTCCCATTTGAAAATGTGTTCAAATCCTCATCATGTATAATATTAAAAAATCGTATATTTCAGCCATCGTTCATATATATATATTTATAATTAATTACTTGATTAGATTAAAAGCTCATACAATTGCATTTTAGTTGAGTTTAATCAAATCTTATTTGTTGGTCTTGTAAAAAAGGAAAATATTTATTTCAACTTTATTATTACGAATTTTTCAAGAATTAAAAAAAATTTCTTAAAATTTTTCTGAAATAAAGATATCAACAAATATCCAAACGATATTTAAGATGCTTTCTACTATTATCATTGACACAAATTTTGGTCAAAAAAATTTATTGAAACTGACAGATAATATTTTAACTTTGATTAAAAAATTTATATCAATCAGAATAAATAAAAATCATGTTATAGCTTATTTTTGGTTTATTTAATTTCTTGAAATTCTATTTAAAAAAATCTAAAACTAAAGAAAATTTATTTTTTGTTGATTACATCTATAAGATCAATTAATATTTTTTAATTATGAAAAACTGCATGATCATCAACTTTAAAAATTATAATTAACAAACCTTTACATTAGGATTGCAAATAAATGATTCTTTTAAATAATTGTACTTCAACTTTCATTGAAATTCAAAAAATATTTTATAATCAATATTATTGAAAAAAATTGGTTGAGAAAAAATTATCAAGTAGGTGTATTCAAGAATATGATGCATAAACATTCTTACAACACAATACAAGCTATCACATTTATATTAGTACATATTTTGAAAATAATTTCAAAATATTATGCTTCTCAATATCTTATTTGAATTTTGAAATTATTTTCTCAATATATTGTCTTATTATTTTGATGGTATACTCGATTTACTTGTTCACTTGAACTCTATATTCATTTGTTAAGGTAGCAATCATTGCATTCATTATTTTATGAATCAATATTATGACATCTCTTAACATGAAGTAAGAGATGAATAATATCTATAACTTATATTATTACTTTGCAGTAAGTTCCATATGAAACTTAACACAAGGTTATTCTTGTAACCCGATGTAAATTATATCTATAACCAGATATAGAATAATATAAAGAGTTAATTAAAAAATCTACTAGCATAGAGAGAATAAAAACATCTGCAACCTACATAATGATTTCGCAATAAGTTCTATAAAGAAATCTAAAGCAAGGCTTCTTTTTACAAAAAGAGTTAACTAGAATTAAACCGTAGCCATCACTGGATAGAATAATAATATAAAGAGAAAATTAAAAATATTATGCTAGCAAACTCTATCTGTGCTCTCATGCACAGCTTGCATGGAAGCACAATGTACCCTGAAACTCTCAAAAGAATAAGTTTGTACAACGCATCAGATGGATTGAGTTTACCAACTATCTTAACTAGTTAAATGGTTTTATCAAACACTACTTGTTTGATAAAATGACATATGATATCGATGTGCTTCACTCTATTTTACATAACCTGATTCATAGCCAAATGTAAAGCACTCTAGCTATCAAAATAAAGATTGATCACGCCCTGCATCATTTTCATCTCCATGATAAGCCTGTCCAATGAAATAGCTAACTCTAGTGTCACATTCAGATATATTAATCTATGTATCCTATATTCTTACTCCGCGAGACGTTCGAGGCAAAAACCTTACACAAGATACGTCTTGTTAACCATAGTTAACTAGATGTAGGCCATGTTCATAACAAGAATGAGTGATAATATAAAGAGGTAATTGAAAAGTAAATCTCCTTGCATAGAGGGAAGAGAAACCTGCGTAACCTAAATAATAACTTGATGAAAAGTTCTAGAAAGACTTTTAATACAAGATCCATCTTTTCAACTAGAGTGAATTAGATCTAAGCTGTAGCCATCACATGATACAATTATAATATAAAGAGGTAACTGAAGTAACTATGCTACCAAACGTTACATGTTGGCCATATCAAAAAACGTGTGTTTCACTACTTAGGAGCTTGGCAATCCATACAGTGATTTCAGCATTCTACAAACCAACCTCTCTTGAACTTTAATCTCAAAGCCAACCAATTGTTTCATGTAGATCTATTCGTCAAGAAAATCCAAAGTGAAAAAACTGTAACTACATTCATATGATCCATAACAAGATTGAATGTCGCGGCCAGTGCACATACTAGACGAATTGTAACATACATTGTTACAGGCGAGAAAAATTTGTTGTCCTTCACAAACAAAAGCTACTCACAGAATTCCAGCTCTCCTTCTTGATGCTGCGAAGCATGACAATCTGTGTCACACATGTCCATCAAGATTGCATTTATCAAGACGAACATCATGCCATTAGAAACTGATGGGGAAGAGTAGAAAGAGTACAAGGAGTTAGTGACTGAAGTTTTCCAAGCTCTTTCTGCTCTAAATCTTAACCTGGTGCAAGACGAGCTTAAAGAATTTGTTCACATCGATGATGAAAACAATGAAAAATTTACAAATACAATTTTGGAAGATGTTGACCAGCTTTTGCAAACGATGAAGCATTCTGAAGAGAATCAAGAGTATGTCAACGAGGATGAAAATGTAACATCACAAATGACGGATGGAGAATTAGTAAACAGCTTTGTGTTGAAGGGATCCGAATAATTTTATTAGCAAGTTGTTGACATAGATGAACAGTTGATCTGCTCGGAGGTTCAAGTGGAGAGTAAGGAGACATTTGATGCTATTAAAAAGTAGTTTAAATTGTTTCAAAGTAACATCTGGGCTCTCAGCTTGAAAGCCAAGCGCAAGAAACTTCAAAACTTGACACAAATGACAATTCATGACATGATGAACTGAATAAATGTGAACCCTATTTTTTCCAGAAAGTATTGTGTACTTTACTGTGATGCATACCTAAACGGGTGCGTACTTGACTGGGAGGTAATTGTACTCCGAAGCGGGAAAATTGGCAGCACCTCCGGTACTGTACGTCACGTCCTTGACACTTAATATTTCAATACATCATTCATATAGTTCTCTTGACATTAAGTAAATGTTTGATTCATGATTAATTTGCATACTCTAGATTCACAAAAGTTTAAATAGTTGGTCTTGATTAATCTTTGATTCATATTTTATAAATGCCAACATTGATTTTTTGCATAATCTAGCTTCACAAAAGTTTGAATAGTTGCTCTTAAACAATGTGTGATTCATGATTTATAAATGCGAGCATTGATTCTTTGCATACTCTAGCTTCACAAAAGTTTGAAAAGTTGATCTTGATCAATTTGACTAATCGCAATAATTGGATATTTTTGGAATATTTCTACTTGTCTTCGCACTTAAAGAAAATCGATTCGAAATTAATTTGCATTGATTAAAATCAAAATTTTTGGATGTATGGCGAATGAAGAGAAAGAAGTTGAAGTATCTAATCGAGAGAGTGAGTGGAGAGATCATTACTTTCTCTTTCTGGACTTGGAGTTATATGGAGCTATGGATGCCAATTGCCACATGTTAATTAGAGATTGGATTTTGCATAAAGATTATCTACATTTCTCTAGCCTTGTGGTCATGTACATCAACTTCGACAATTGTCAAACTTATTCACAAAATCGTGAGAGATAAGCTGCTAAATTCTATCATCTCAGGTGGTTAATATAAATCAGTTAATTTGAGAGATCAATCTCGTTGGGAGATATTCTTTGGTTTTGATCTAGCTAATCCAGATATCTTAGATGGAAAGAGTAGATATTGATCTTAATGATGTGCCTAGCACCCATCATCCCTCCTCTGCTAGACGCAACCTTTTGATATTTTCTTCGTTCCACTCTCAACTTGGGAAAATTGAACATCACTGCAATAAACTGAGATTCTGTGTCATGTGAGATCACCGGAAAAACAGAAGAAGTCTACGTGAAATCAGTCATATCCTGGTATATGACTGATACTGGATTGAGTTTAGCTACAAGGCGAAATCTATTCTCCTCTTCTGCGTGTCCTCGATCATGTGAAATTTGTTACAGTTTGTAACAAAGCGAGTGCCAGAAGGGGTGGAATTCCCAAAGGATCAAATGTAGATGCCAAGTATGGTGTAGACGGAGGAGAGAGAAAGAAGAGTTGCTCCTGTACATGATTTGATTCCGCTTTCGTAGCTCTTGGCTTTACGACGCTGCAGAGCTACGGCTTTCTGCTCACGAGACGTTATCGAGGAAGGGCATTTCTGCTTAGTATCTCGTACAATCTGAGACGCATGATGTAAATTCGACCATGGAGAACTCAATCTGGAACATTCAAAAATTCCAGCGGGGAGCGCGCGCAGCGGGCGTCTATCTGCTCTTCAGCGGTATCACTTTTTTCTACGTGAATCTCAGGTTTGACGATCTCGTGCTTATATTCCATCTTTGGGAGTTTCCTCTTCTCCAAGGTCTTCCTTCTGAGGATCTTAGTTACTGCAGAGTCGCAATCCCTAGAAATAGCCTTCTTACCTTCGAAGCAATTCTTGCGATATTCTTGAAACAGTGTCAATGATGTGGAAAAGTATTCCTGCATGTCATAATCGTTCAGCCTTTTCGTCGATAGGGCAAGTGAGATCCTCAATTGCACAGAAAGCTGTGATCTCGCTTCAGAAAAGTATACTGGATTGTAAGAATCAAATTTGCTCTTACGAAAACGTGAAGTCCTGAATCGGTTAGGTAACTTTGATTGATTGGCAGTACGAGAGCGGGAGTTCCAAGAACTGCAAATCCATACAGTGCGTATCCGGCGGGAACCGACCTTCTATTCGATGCCACTAAGGTACAAATTTTATTCTGGTAATCGTATGTGTGCTGTTCATACTGTCAGGAGCTTTTCAAGGACACTGCAAGATGGGATCAAGACATGGATTTCTGGAATCAATGCCACTTCGGTTCACATTTATAATTTTGACACGCTCCAGATTCGTATTGAGTTTTTTTTCTATCTCGGATCAAATCGATAACAATTTTGTTGATGCATGTCTTTCCTGCTAAAGGACTTAATCTCCTGGGGGATTGTAAGAATGCTGTCGTCAGTCTTCAATGCCGTGTACAGTCTACTCCGATATTAGTACGATCCGACTTGTGGTTGTAACGATCTCATCTCTATCATCCCGAGGTCCTAATTTGACGACTTTATCCCCGCGCAGCTGTATAAATCTGCCCTAAGCAATATTTTCGAAGATGAGGAGTGGGGTCCTTTGGAATTTGGTATTATGGCAAAACATTACGAGCGTGAAGGAAAGGCTCCATATTCGTATCATTCGGTGAGTATCAGGAACCTTTCAAATGTGGTCTTTTCTTCGATCTAATATCTGAAGGTGGTCTGCTTGTACTTTGATATTTTGAATCTAGACCACGACTGACAACCATTCGCTCCACAATATAGAGGATAATGAGTCACTGGGGACGCTGACGCCAGCTGTTATCTTTGTGGCATATTGTGCAGATGTATATGGAACATATCCTTTCAAATGGAAAGATGACAAGTCCGAATCTGTGATTGATATCCAATTCGACTGTTTCATTCTTCTGTGAAATCTATTTGTGACTATATTTCCAGTACATGGTCTCCTATGTTGGACCACGGCTTCTACGTTCAAACACTGCGTGGAGAGTTATGGAGGTAGATACGAGAGTCAGAAAAGGAGTAAAGATTGTTCGCACATTGTGTCAGAGTGTGACAGGAAGTAAAATCTGCTAAAGGCTCATTTTTGCAGTACAGTGGAGGCAAGTAATTTTTGTTATGTGAGTCTACATAAATTCTTTTGGGATGCTGTCTCCATTTACTTTCACAGTTTTTTCAGACTGAAATTTCTGTCTCGATCAAGCTTTATGTAGTAATATGGAATCCGAGATCCTCTGTACGACAAGACACGGGAGTGTGTGAACTCTATGTCCACTAAACCTTTCCTCCTGATCCTTCTGGTGCTCCTGCATTGTTTTGTAAGGTTTGTGAAAACAAGCAGGTCATATACCCTAATTCAGACTGAACCTGACTGAATTAGACTGAGTGCACGTGCACCGGGCTCCATCCACACTTCAATTTTCAAAACAATAAATGTCTTCAAGCCGCACAAGGGCTGCCATCACTCAATTGAGTTTGTGTGAGTTCCATGTCATATGGATGGTGTTGATCAGGCAAATACCAAAATTCCTCAATTGCACATCTACAGATCGAGCACTTCTGTTGTACTGTCCTCATGACTGGGGCAAAGAGAGTTGCTTCAGTGAGGAAGTTGCTTGTGATTAGGAACTTAAACCACAGACGTCTAAATCATATATATGTTTTGGAACATAGCGCTCTTCGGACCTCTACCGAGATGCAGCAATCGAGCTTGAATCTTTTCCAACGTCCTCAGATAAGACATTAGTATCAGGCCCCCGCCTGTTCAATGGTGGAAGATGACAGCTGGCCACAGTATACAAAAAGTCCAGGTCTCTTAGGAGCTTCAAGTCATATACGAATCTGTTGTGCCTGTAAATTACATGAAGGAGAGGGCTACCCATGATCCGAGTGGGCTCCTACTCTGCGACACGCAGAGGCGGACTCTACAATCATGTAACGAACATTGCGAGCACTTGCACATGCATTGGTATGTGCCATACAATGAGAGGAGCCGCACCTCGTCCGATCGTCAACGTGGTCCAAGTATAAATTCAGCAATTTGCTGACCTCTTCCTCACCATCTACTCTACCCTACAAGACAGACATGCCCCATGTCTTGGTTGTTCAGTATCCTGTGTAAGAATCTACGCTTTCTTTAGAACTCTATCGATCTCTTCGAGAACGTGAAGAGCGACCATGGGAGCAGTGAGTGACGCCAAATCATCGATGTTCTTCTTGGCTGCAAGCTCCTCGATGGAGACAGTGACATCAGCATTAGCGTAGTACTCTGCTCTCGCTCTCAGCATTTTTCTCGTATCATCCACCAGCTCCGGAGGCGGCTCGGATTCTGCGATGGTTTGAATCAGATGATCCGCGGGCACATCGATCCAGACGGTGACTCCAGTCCTCAAATAGCTCCAGTTCCGCGGACTGACTACGGCACCTTCTCCCGTGGCAACGACCAGACGAACCATGGGAGACAGCTGCATGAGAACTTCCGTCTCAGCATCCAGAAGCTCTTGCTCGATCATCTCCCGCACGGCGTCTCCGGCAGCCGTCTCCACCAATTCCATGCTGTCGAAGAAGTAGTACCCGAGAGCCTGCGAGAGGTGCTTGCCCACGGTGGACTTGTCCGTTCTCGACATACCCACGAGGAAAATGCTGCTCCCTGACAAATGAGGCGCTAAATCCGCGGCCTTCTTCTTCAGCAATGTCTCCTCGTCCCTCGCCGGAGTGCCTCCCGCCCCTGCGAAGATCGCCCTCGCTCGACCTGCACTGCTGCCCGTCGTCCGAGGACGGCAGAACGATGTGAGTAAGCAAGCTCCCGAACTCACAGCGCTCGCTGCACATTTGGCCCTGGCCCTCCCACTTGCGCTCACGTGCTGGCTCGAGTGCGAGCTCGGCCTTCTCGGAACAGAGGTCGCAACCAGCAATTCCGCCACCCGACCAGCCATTACGGCCATGGGAGCACGGGACGAAATCGCCACTCCTATCCGGAGCGTGTCACCGGAGCTCGTCTGTCACTATCGACGGTATGGCATTCTCTGCAGCTGCTCAATTCCGCACTGAGGACGTTCTTTCTATCGGAATCTGTCGTTGCTGCTCTCCACCATATCTTTCGCCGTCCGCAGCGGCAGCTCGGAATTCAAGCGCTGCCGTAGCTCGGAAAGGGGCCGAGAGGATTGAATTGATCGCCTTCTCTTCAGCGTCTGCTTTCTTCGGACAAATTGGGACACACCTTTTTCGGCCGAAAACGACACGTGGCCTTCAACCCCTCATGATGCCATTTGTTCATCATCTGGTAGACGGAGGTGGAGACGCATGGGATATAACATTTAGAAGCCCTCTTATGAACCGGCCACCCTGAAGAAGAACCACCAGGATGAAACTGGTGTTTCCAAGGCATCGCGGAATTTACGTCTTCGTAGGTACATTGAACTCTTGAGGTTTACACGTTTTTGAAATAAATCAGTCTGGAAGGAATTACGCTATCATAAAAAACTGTTGGAATTTTCTTTCTGATTGTAATCATACTTTTATGATAAGATATGAAGTATTGTTTTCTATAGATTCAACATATTTCCGTAATCAGGACTTTCCTGATTACATTTTGTATGACAACTCTCGTTGAGTTATCCTAATCCTGATTAACAAATATTCAGAAATACGCTTCATTTTCAATGTAATCATTTTATTTTGATGACATTTACGATGATCTTGCTCATTTTCAAGGTTAACAGACCTGAATTCTAGTTATGGACTTCCATGTATAAGTTAGATGTTCGCAGATTTATTTGATAGTGTTTTTATAATCGATGGTAGTACATGTCCTACGCAAAATACTTAAAACGAAAGTATTTTAGTTACTTAGTTTTGTTATAATTTTCTTACCGATGTATTGTAAAAAAATTTAGTTCAATGAGAGTTTACATTCATAAATTGTGATTTCATATCCGAAAATCCAAGTGGCTCATACGTTATGCCTACTCTTGGAACTTTACGATTTTGGGCATCTTCTCGCAAGTTTTCGGGTGAGTAGTACCGTGCTTGACAAACCCGAGATTATATGCACTGTATAATACCGAATTTGAAGTCTAGAATAGATTTCATACACTAAACTCCGTACAGAAATTTTTTCATAGAGAGTTTTGCAATTATAAAAATTAAAAAAGCATTCTCGAAGATAAAAGTCGAAGTAATAAAAAAAATTTAATTTCCGAACAGAGCGAAGAAATTTCATGTTAACCGTAAAATATAACAATAAATGACACTCATATCTCTGGAAAAACAGTTAGTTCTTTCCTCAATGATTTATAGTATATTCTCGTATCACATTTCATCGATCATCTTTCAATTCTATTATTTTTCTTTTTTCTTTTTTTTCAAACAATTGTAAAATTAACTTCTCTTATGTGTTGAATTTCAATACGGGCAAAGATAGTATACGTCGAGTTCGGTTAACTCAATGTCAAGTCTGGTTTCTTATCTTGTTATTTCATATGACATAAACCAGTCTCTTTCACACTTTATTCATGCAGATCCTCTCATGTAATTTGTACTAGTCCAAATCATATTTACATGAACATGATACTCAACTTTATAGTATTAGTTTGTCGATAGCAGTTTAATTGATGCTCAGCAATAGATTCCATAAATTATCCGTGCTTATCCATGGTTAAGCTCACACATCCGTACATGATGTGTGAATTGTCCAAAAATTCTCTTCTTAAAAGTTCTTTCATTGTCTTTCACCAAAATTCCTAACAAGTGTTTAGAAACTCAAAAGTATTGAAAACCTATGTTTGTGTTCATATTCTAACTATTAACACCAAATGAAAATATGATAACCAGACAAGTAATTGAAATGACTAATATACATCAAGGGATGCAACAAGCTTCTAGGTCAAGACATAGAAGCTTGTTGAACCTGAAGTACTCATCCTACATTTATCCACTCTCCAGACTAGCCTAAAGACATCACGAATCCCTGGTTCCAGCAGCAAGGCTCCATATAGTAAAACTACCAGGACAACACAAGAATTCAAAAGAAGTCTGGAAAAAAGCAAGATAATTTCATACAAAGCGCTTGCTAAACGAGGCAGATGAGACAATCTTCTCATTCCAAGAACTTGAAACAAGCAGAACCCGAAAATCATGCAGATAACCATTAATTGAAATTTCATTGAGCAGAAACACACTCATATATATGGACGGTGGACCTTGCCACACATGGAGCCACTCTTGGTTGATTTAACGTATACACAAATTCGTCCATGTGAGCAGACTGTGCCCATCTTCAAAAAGATGCCAGAGCGTTGTGGAGGTACAAACACAGCTGTCTTAAAAAATGGTTACTTCACTGAGCTATAAGACAAAGAACAATAAATCATACAGTAGTGGCGATATGCTTAGAAATCTGAAAAAACGGATTTCTTTCGGACGAAAGACATCACCATCTCCTCGAAACAGCCTCCAGACTGCAACATTCTAGGGTCTACAATATGAAGCCTTGCGGCTGTCTTAAGAGGACAGCAGACGTCCTTAGGCGGACGATTTAAACCTCGACCTGCCCATCCAGTTCAACCTCTAGTGCAATAAGCGCTATAGTTCTATTGTTAGTTATATAATTTTGATACACATAAGTGTGACGTCAAAATAGTTATCATTACACACACTGACGACCTTATCCACAGTTCCACGATGAGACTACAATCTGCACAATTCGTCTGGAAATTGAAGACATGTGTGCAGATAAGGCAGCAGGATAGAAAACGAGATCTAACCTGGGTAAGGTGACAGTAGGAATTATGCTGCCTGTTATTGTATACACGGCCTTACCTGCACTCTCTGAAGAAGAGGTAAAAAGAATTTGGGCTCATTTCTATTCAGGTATCTAGACTACGTTACGTTACCTGCACAACCTTCGGAATTATTTGCACATCAACACATTCGACTGGTATTGAGGGCATTAAATACTAGTCAGCCTCTAAACCCTCTCACGCAAACTACTGTGCACCTAAAAACTTAGACAAGACACCCTTTCGAAAAGCGAATACGTCGACTTGCTCTTTCTCCCCCCGGTGAGTGGTCAGGGCACTCTGGGTTAAGGAATGATTCATAGCTTTCCGAAGCTGTGCGTTGTCAATGAGTAAATCCGTAAGAATTCGCTTCAATCCAGAATCACTCTCCAAGATGTCTGCCTGCTCCTTTAACTTTAGGTCTGGACCACCTTGTCCATCTCCATTGCTATGCGAGACCCCATTTGTCCGAGGATTTGAGTCGGACGCAGTTTCATCGATTTCTTCTCGAGAAAGTAACTGAGCCTGAAAATTGATTTGGAAAAACTATCAGAACGAGATATACTACTCAACATAGTTTATATGACTTCTTCATGAATATTAAACGGACTTAGCCTACGTTCGCTATTTGACAATATTTTATATGAACCACCTCATTAATTCCCTTCTAAAGTGACTTGGCTCAACAAACTTGTTCATCTATAAGTGGAGCCACGTTACTGCTAGGACAAAAGAACCAAACGCCAGACAGAGTCAGCTGTATGCTCTCACCTCTGCAAGAAGCAGCCCGATACGACTGTCTGAAGTAGAAAGAAGATCCAAAGCATCTGTTACTGCAGAAGCATTCTTGTTTCCTGACTTCTCCTCTTCTCGGGCAAGGTAGTCCACAGTACATTCCTGTAACCTTTGCCGCAATGTTGCCACTTCATGCAAAAATTTGGCTCTAGATTTCTTCACTCTTTCTTGCTTTCTCTTCTCATCATCCAAGACTTTCTGCAATGAAAGAGGAGCCCATCAGAAATTTGAAGGGGTCCACTAGTACAGTATATCAAAAAACGGGAAGGCGAGCACAGAGTTCAAAACAAGAAGAATGATAACGGGCATGAAAAGCTGTGAGAAAAGCCCGTAGCGCTGCCCTACGGTTCACAACTCTGAAAGACAAAAGATACTACAATGTCTGAGATTTCTCCTGAAGAAAGGACCATTAAGGCAATTATATAGTCTGATCAAGCGATCCCAGGTTCCAAACTGATCAGAACACTCAGCAGTGTTTAGATCTTCGATGCGAGATTGTTTATTCCAGTCCAGTCAAACAACTGTGCTTTTCAGGGTAGATTCTGGTTATCCTGATCAAATCCTCACCAGGAGTACTCTGAAAATGGTGAGGATTGTCTGGTTGAAAGAGGAAAAAACCTCACCTCGAGTTCTAATTTTGCTTGCTGAGCCAACTCCGCCTCCTTTTTCAGCTCGGGCTGGGCACTTCGAAGTGACTTGATTTCTTTAACTAAAACCTTCTTGTCTGATCGAGACTGAGCCTCAATAGAATCTCTTTCTTTCTGCAATTGGGTCATTTTCTCACGAAGTTCTGCAACCTCCTTCTCAGCGGTTTCTCTTGCACTCTCTGCAAGACTCAATTTATCTTCCAGGGAAACTCTGGCTTCCTGCAGATGCTTTCAAGGCCGTCTTAGAACAGGAAATCAGTAGCCACAATCTCACAAATCTAGCGGCATCCATTTAAGACCACATCATGTAACAAAGCTGAGCTACGAGGCTGGTCAGATGTTTACCATCCGTAACAGGTCCAGATAGACATATCTTTTTAAAACTGAAACAGGTAAAATACAATAACTCACAGAAATGCCTCCTGAAGTCGTTCAAATCGTAGCATGACAAACTTACTTTTCCGGATTGAGATGACTCTTCTAGATTCATGAGTGTTGCACGACATTCCTCCAGTTCCCATTGTAGACTGGTGACTCTATCACGCTCCACTGAAACAGCTTGCTGCAGCACCTCTCTACTTTTCCGTCTCGTGTTGTCCAGATCTCCTTCCAAATCCCTGACCTTCCACCATGAGAAGTCCATATTCAAATGCGGAACGACAAGTATATGACTAAAGTGTTTGGACAAGGTATTCCTTCTTCCAAGAAACCAACTACAGTGAGCGGCACAGCGTAAATTACTAGTTAATCTTCAGAACATCTTGCAGTCAAATAAACTCAAATACGGATCAACATTTACTCTTTTAAAAAAGGCTTCATGGATCACATATGCTTTTTTTGTAAAAATGTCAACCTTGGTTGCAAGAAACTCCTTTACTGCTGTCTCTTGATTCAATCTTGCAATTAAATTCTCCATGTCTGATTTAGCCACTGTCAGCCTTCTCTGAAGCATCGACAAAACCCTTCGTACTCTACTCCGCTGGTCCAAAGGTAACACTACACCAACTCCTTTCAGTATAGATTCTGTTTCAAACAGACCCTCTTCCATGCCACCAATACCCCAGTTAGAGCCTTCCACTAGCCCATCCGCAGAAGGAGCTACAGATGGCTCACTTCCTCTGACAGAATCAATTTCACTGACAAAGCTCTCATGTGATCCTTTCCGGCGGTGCCAAGACGAATTTGACTCAACTGATGGCAACTGTCCCACACTTACTACTGGACTCATTCCACCTGTAGTTCCGTGCTCTGCGACTCTGCCACCTACATGAGGTCTTTGCAGGTCACCCTCTAAAAGCCCCACTTGGTCAGTAGTAATTCCAAGATCACCTGCATTAGAAAGAGCAGATGAGACAGTCTTCTGTTCCAACGGCCTTGCCCTTAACGTCACTTCATCTGCCTCCATGATTGCTCTTTCTTCCTCAAGAGCTAGAGCGTCCATTTCTATTTCCAAGTCACCATCGCTAGTCTTGCTTGGCGTAGCTTCCCCCTGTGTATCGTATGTTGGTTCACTTCCGTCGTCTAATCCATTTGGGAACGGACCCGAAGCGACTGAAGAGCCGCCTCCTGTCCATGAGTAGCCTGATCTCGGACTTGGTATAACAGATGAGCTAGACGGATGGGTAGCCAAGCCTACTGCAACTGGGCCACTTGACTGTCGTTCGCCGACTCCTACTGTAATCGGACCACTTGCTTGCTGTTCGGCAATGGAATTCATGGCTGAAAGCGAACGGTGGAACATTGTGTTAGATTATTCTTCTGACGCTACAAGTGGATCAGGCATTTCTCAATTTGTTGAGAAAGGCTTGATCCATTTGTAGCAACGTACCAGTACAAGCAAGCTATGCTATGCCACATGAAATATGCTTCTAGCCCAACTTGATTTGAGAATGAAAAGCTCACTCAACAATATACACTAAGAACCCAAATAATACCTACTTACCATATCTTGCAGCTGCTTCAAGCTCCAAAAATGAAGCGACAGGAACACTTCGAGATATATCAATATCTGCCAAAAGCCTTCCAAGCCATTCCTCAAGAGCCCAGCGTCGCTGCGTGCAATCAAAGGAAGTATAACTACATCAGTATCCGTTGCAGGCAAGATATCACCGTGAAAATGTTCTTCCAGTAATGTCCTGGTAAAAAAATAGTGACGGAGTGTCGAAGCTTCAAGCAGGGAGCAAAGGGATCTGATAACGATGGATTAACGAAAAAGAAATTCGTTTGGTTACCTAACCACTATATTGCACATAGAATCTCTACCTCTTGAAGAAGTGTTTGACTTGAATTGATTCTCATCAATGTGTTTTTTGGTGGGGCAGCTGGTAGTTTCTTCCTCGGGAAAATCCGCTTCAGCTGCTCAAAACAACAGGCAAAACACGAATAGTCCTGAGTACCTATTACTCGTCCGTTTTCCTGCTGTCCCACGATACGATAGAAGATACGAATATTACATCCACTCCCACTGGAGAGCTTACCATCAGTACTACATTCGTGATGTGAAGTCTATTCATCTATTATCGGCGGCAAGAGTATCACTGAAGCAGTGATCAGTAGCTAAAGACAGGATTCATGGTTATGTGCCTCTGAAAAGTGAGTGAACGGATCAGCATTGAAACCCATTTTCTCTCACACTACAAATCCTGTACATCGGCATAACGGGAATATGTACAGAATGCTAGGTGAAATCGGAAAAAGGTTTCAGCGAGGCAACCTGGCATCAGAACTTTGTTAGATATATTAATATAGCAACTTTGGTACATATGAAACACTTACAGCAGCGAAGAGCTTCAAAAAATCACTAAACCTTCGAAGAGTCCCTCGAACAGCACTGATACCTTGCGGTGACTGGATACCCACTTGAACCCTGTAAAACTTCATACCAACAAGCAACCGAATCAGAGGAAAATAGATCAAGTGGCTCATAATGTCCAAATATTTCGAACAGACACTGACAGTTAAAGAGGCCAGTAAATCACACATTTTTTACACTCTGCTTGGTCCGTAATTCAAATGTTCTCACCACAGTAGGGTTAATGGCGGCTCCATCAGGAGTTTTTGCTTGAGGTATACTAATCCATGATGGAATCATCACACAGTAGCTCCATCCAGTTCGCGGGTCATGAGGCCAAACCGTATTGGTACCATTCTGCAGTCATAAGCAAGGAACACCTAAGAGTAATGAGTAAGACCATAACTGAAAATCTGAACAAGGACTGGGAGGTAAGCTAAATTCCAGCTTACTTACAAGACAAAAACCTGCAAAGATTATTCTCCGAGCTTGTAGTAAGAAGCAAGATGTCACCCTCAGCTCGTGTTTGTGTAGTTTGAGTTTGCAAGATGTAAACGAACCTTCAAAAGAAATTACGTAACATGCATTGAGCTGAAGCACATTTTCAAAAAAAATATATCAGTGCTGTCTCGCTGAAGAAAGAAGGCAATGTTCCCACACCATAATTACTTACGCTCGAGAAAGTCTCGGATGGCGAAGAATGAAAAGACTCAAGAGCTCAGGCGCAGCCATTATTAGCTCAATTTCCTGGATTGATTCTTTCTTTGTCCAATTAACTAGTAACAATCACAAATGACCTCAAAATAAGTTTAAGCTTAAGTTTATTCAAAACTACTGATTATTATCTTGGACAAAATTAATGATCTGGAGTACAACACGACTAGACATCCGGTTCAAGACCCACGAGTGCTTAGAAGAGACCAGAACATCGATAATCAGACTTTATGAACCCCATGCATCTCATTTCTTACATAGATTCTCGTCTGTTTCCAGAATCTGCAAGTTTTAAAGCTCGAGACCTCTGATTCAAGAGAAAGTTGAACAATGTCTCAATCCTTCCATCATCGAGTGCACGGAATTATATTCTCCAGAGCCACCTCATAACGCCCAGAACCTGCCTAATCCGAAAAGGGAAAAAAAAACGACTGGATCCCCCCCACATTTCACTGATCAGCCGATTTGACAGCCACCACCCACTGTTGCGCTTCATATGCACCAATCCGCACACTAATCGCGTGCTCCAAAATTGTCTCGAAGTCATTCTCAAAACACAAGAGATCGGAGCCAGAGAGACCTACCCAGCGTTGTGGCGCAGGGCTGGCGTCCATGCCGAGGGGCAGAGGCGATGAACCGTCATGCCGATGCCGAGGGGGACTCGTTCCTGCCATAATCCCACACTATTTCCACCACGAGAGCCCGAAGAGCCACTCTCGCACTACTCCCAATTCCCCGTCTCCCGTCCTTCTGCTGCTGCTCCCCAATTCCTCCTACCCTCTCCTCCCTCCTCTCCCCGTTCTTCCCTCTCACATCTCACCGGAATTCCAACGCCAATTTCAACCAAACCCCCAGTCTCTCGTCGCCGACATGTGATGCTTCACCTCAAGCACATTATTATCACAACTGATAATCTCGCAAATCATCGAGAAGTTATCGACGCGGCCATCGATGCAGTGCAGTGTCCAGCTTCTTCCTCTTCTTGTTCTTCACTGAAGGAAAGGGCTGCAGCAACTTTTCTTTGAGCTGAAGTAGACAAACGACCGGAAGAGCAACGAGGGAATCATGCGCACCTGGCGAAACTCCTTAGCTCCGGCTACAAGCTCGCCGGACCGGTTTCGCCACCCGCGCCGCTATCCCGGTCGCCTCGAGTTGACGGATGTAGCAGTGGCGATAGCTAAACTGCTTAGAGGTAGGCGCCAAAGGCCTGCTCCTCCTCCCTCTCCGGTTCTGCTTCTGCTGCAGGGTCCCTTTCCCTCTTCCCTCAAAAGATGCCTGCCGGCATCTTTTGATGCTTGTCCACCTTGCCCTCCGATAAGCGAGAAAGCAAGCAACGTCTCTACATTTGAACAGTTCTGCTGCCTTGACCGCTTCTTGACGCACCGCAAAGTTCCACAATCCGTCCGGATCTTGGACTCCGGATTCTCTGGATTCTCTGGACTTTGGCAGTGCGTTTGGTTCTTATCACGGATCCACGACGGCTGACGGTTTATCCAATTACGTAGAACCTGTTGTACGCATGCGTAGTTCTCGCTACATGGAGTGCCGGAAAAGATAGCATTTGATACCATTTGATGGGTCTTCCCATCCTTTTTTGGTTATTACATGCCCACTCCTCTCTATAGAAATATCATCACAAAAGATCGTTTCTTAAAATAAACTTCTCTTTTGGTGAGAAGAGGTTCGCCACATGCAAACCAACAACGATGGGAATCTAGTATGTTGTTAGGAAAACATCTCCTGCATTTCTTTCTTTTTTTTAGTAAATCAAAACCCATTCATATAGGTTAGTAGCGTCAAGTGGGTAATTGAATGTCATCACGGGAATGATTGGTACTTTACGCTGCCAGCGAGAATTATCCAGTCAGTCGAACATAGTGTTTAGTCGTTCTTACATAAGTGGATTATTGTTTAAGACAAAGAAAGTGTAGTAGCTGGCTCAATGCTCTGACATTGTGGTTGCATGAATTGCTCTGAATACAAGTAACGAATAAATTGTTCTTCGGAAATTCAAGCTTCAGCTGAATTTATAAATGATGAAAAAATCTAAATATAGTGTTTTAATATTTCAATATATTTTTAACTATATCATGTCATCGTTAATTGAACGTATGAAGACAAATGCAAATCATCAATATATCAGTCCATCATAGGCATGTATAATCGAGATATATATATATAAATATCTCTCTCTCTCTCTCTCTTCATATTCAAATTGATTGTTTTCCCCTTCTTCCTATCCATTATACAAGCACTTATGCTAATACTCATGCATTGATTTTATACTTTTTACTGGAGTTGTTATCAATTTTGAAACAAATTTATCATGATTGGTTCACTCAGGATATAAGCGTTTATCATCATATAAAATTACCGTTTTCGAAATATTTAAATTCTTATAAAAATTGATATTTTAAAATAGTTCCCATGAATATATAAAAAATCAAATCAGTGGATTATTTCTTTGGATGTAATTTTATTTCATGATTTCCTCTGGTCTCGATTGCTGAAGCAACCTGAGTAGTCTTTTGACAACGTTTTCCTCCGCATGGCTCGTCCACTCAGGGGTGACCAATACTTGTGGGAAAACCCACAAATAACATATATGACAAATATCTTCAGGTAAATCGTTGGTGTGCACAAACTTCTAACAAAACTCTAGAAGAGGGTTCACCCGGTACTATCGGTGGTCGTGTTCAGGAAACGATGAGCTTGCTGTGCAGATAATGCTAGACTTTTTGGTTAATCTGGCAATTACACCCTACACTGCAAGGTAAAATTGATATTGTATCATATGAACACAAATAGATTACAATATATCACGTGAATTCCCATAAAATAAAAATCAAATGAAGGTCAATATCATATGCAACTAAATAATATTATGTTCAAACTTATACAATGATACATCTTTGTAAGAAATTGAATGATTCTTAAGTATTCAGACAATATTAATTTCATTTATGCTCTCCTAGTATAATTTTTCTGAACAAAATTATTTTCACTCTTTTTATAAATATTTATAATCTCAAGAAAGTATCAATTTATCTATGAGACATACAAAGTGATGATGTTATAATGAAATGACTGATTTATAATGCTACTTATTTTCATACAAATATTTTAGAAAACGTAATAAAATATTAGATATATATTGTGTTTAAATTCTCCTTAAGTGGAAGAGAATAGGAGTGTTAACCTTCTTTGTATATATCCACAACTCTTTATGTGCAAAAGATCCAAGAAATGTATTTATCATGTACTTTTCAGACAATTAAAAACCCATTCCTTACATACTGCCTATTATCACATTTTTAAATAATGTTTGGAGTCATGTGGGAAAAACATAATTCTTAACTATTAGCAAGAGTTGAGGGAAATGAGTTGAAAACATCATTTTCATACTTAATAAAAGGAATAACATGGAAATTTGAAAAAAATATTTACAAATGATATTGCAATTCCTTCATTATTGATTAAAAGTTATGAAGCATGGCTAAATTGTTGAAAAATGAAAGATATGCATATTTCAAGTCTTAATCAGATTATTGAATTAAAAGGTTATAAAGTTGTACGATGTCAATTTACATCAAACAAAAGGAGATTGGTAGATAGTAAATGAGGAGCAAGACAATTCATGAAGCAAAAAACAAGAATTGAAAAATCTAACTAGTTCCAATATACGACAAAGCAAGCTGGCAAAAAAGCTTCAAAAGTGTTCTAAACATCTCAAATGTATTTGAACAATGTGCAATATTTTCCCACGTTTGTCTCCCCTCACCTTGAACAAAGAATTTTTAATTATAATATTTCCATATTGAAAATGTTATACTTTTTCATGTCCATATTTGTTGTGAGCAATTAGTATAGGATTAAGGTTAACTCTAATTGAGTAAATACTAGATTAGTGCCCACTCTTGTTGGAAAGTATAGTCGAGTGAAAATTTGAAGACACTTCAGTTCTCCTTTTAGCGTTAGGAGTAGCTCCCAGTGGATTAACTAACCCACTGATGCTTGTGATTTTTGATATTTCATAGCTAATCCACTACGATATACTTCATTCTTGCTCCGATTAGTTATTCGAGTATACTTGAAGGCGGTGGCTTTCGATAATTCATTGTTTCTCGCTAGCCTCCGCTTGGATTTTCCAAATCGTGAAGTGGGTTTGGCTCGACTTTATGTGAGGTTCGTGTTTTATGCCATTGGGGTTTGCAGATGCATCTTCATATGACGTAACACACTTAACATCTCCAAAAACATCCAAAATCTAGCATACTGCAACCTTGCTTCATGGCAAGTTCCCGTCTGACCTTGACATGATCATCTCGCAATCACAAAGTCAAAAAGGTCAACCCTATCAAGGTCTGACGCATCAAACAATGAAATATTAAAAATCAACGCCTTCTGGTATATTCGGATAGTTAATCTTGACAACAATGAAAGATAATGTTGCATCAATTGTGCAATATGTTATGAATATATTCAGCATTCAATTTCATTCTTCTCCACATACAAATAACTTCGTACAAGAAAACCTGCATGCAACATCACAACCAAACAAGTGCTGATTCCATTGAAAATATCCAACACACAAACAAAATCTGGTGGATACATCCATGCATTCAATTTGATATACAATTGGTATAACACAATGACCAAGTACCACAAAGAGGCTAATCATCTTGAGCACTCTCTATTACAAAGTTTTTGGTCTAAACCTTCTTCACTAGCGTATCAGGCTCTTGCAATATCCCCCAACAAAAACACCAAAGTGGAACATTCAAAGAAGATTACACTCCTGTTGCAAAGCTCACAATGATAAATATTGTTTGAATATTAATATGGTTTGCAAATAGATGGTTGCATGTGGTGAGCTCAAAGCAAAGTCAAGACATGCACTCGATAAAATCTGCAATAGACAATTGATTTTCTTCTCGGAATGGAGACTTATTGCATTTTTTTAAAGAGCATTTGGCTTATTGGTCTCGACCCTTATATAAAAGGGTTTGTCAACGATAATGAGGGCAAAATCCAGTGAATAATTATAACAAATATTAAGAAGTTTTCCATTGAGAACTATGTAGCGTGCCAATCGAGTAAGTTCTTGGATTACATTTGAGTAAAATTTCGCAGCAGTCGTCGGCTATTGAGTGATAAGTCAAAGCAGAATGTTCAAATTGTCCGTACTTATCGCCTAGGCGTAGACCAGGTACCTGCCCTTTAGCGGGAGAGTAAGTTTCAAAGTCGAATGTGACAAACATACGACTTCCTGCTGCTGTTGTAGCAGAACATACGCTTCCAAACCATAGCAGGGGGCAGACCACGCAGTTCGCTGGTCCAACTCCCATTTGCCCGGCAACTCCGTAGCTGTCGGGATGGCTCTCTAACGTTACGTTCCGCGAGCCGGCCGGATGTCCTCGGATGTTGGCATTTGGAAGCCGATATTTAAGTTCAGATCCGGCAGAGTCTGCCCCGCTCGTTCGCGGTGTCAATTCCATGCCAGCCTCGAGAAGTCCCGTCGACAGACCTGTCGGCCGCATGGAACAGAAACTAAATTTGTCGCGACCGTGACGACTAAACCGGCTATATTTACATGAGAGTAACAAGTCGAGGCGGTAGTGACAAATTTAAACCCTGCAGACGAGATTTATATTAATAACAAAAATTACAGATAAATTGTCTTTCACTTTGCCCTTCCCTTCCGATAAATTATTTGTCTTGAACCAATCCAGAACTCACAGTCTTCTCATCAGTTTAGATCAAACTACATCGCTATATTTCTGGGAACATATAACCTACGTGCGATTTGTTTATTTGCATGTGTAGCCGGAGTCACATATAACACAAACAGAAAAAGAGAATAGATCACGCTGATCCAGTGCTGACTACCCGGGCGAAAAGTAAGACCGGTCAGTAAGATAATCCCGTGGGAAGTACAGTAGGCAAGGAAATGAAAGCAGCAGGGGAAGAAAATGAGGACGACCGTGTGGGGGACAAGCGTCAGGGAGTGGAGTCAAAGGGTCCCTACCGGAGGACTGTCATCAGTACCGTGGAGGTCCCGACGCGGTCCCGTCGAAGGGAGACATCCGAAATCGAAGCATGGCGAGTCGGGCGGGCTTTCGTCGCTCTGCAATTAGAATCGAAATTCTTCGGGTGCTGCTGGTGCACACTGCAGCAGCAGCAGCAGCAGGGACGAGGCTGGACGAGGCGAGCTGGCAGTGAGGGCGAGTGAGCAATGTGTGACGACGACGAACGAGCGAGCGACTAGTTCGTCGCCTCGTCCAAGGATGCGCACCTCGGATCGAAACGAGGGAGGTGTAGGAGCTTCGAATGTAGGTGGTGACAGAGAGGTTTAGGGTTTGACAGGCGAAGCACATGAAGCGCAGAGCGTACTTTGCAGGCCATCCGACGTACTCTACTGCAGCTGTTTAGGACCCGCGACAGTCGGAAGAGCAGCAGCTTGCGGATTGGACTGGTCAGGGTAGGAATGAGGGCAATGTGAAATGACGATTTTTAGTGCGGAGCTCGTCTTTGAGTAGAGAACATTTTTTGAGAATTCATTTCTTGGTACATTTTCCGGGGAGCAGTGCATCTCGTTTACACTACGGCTCCTCGTCTTTATTACCACTTTTGGCCGCCTGGCGTCTGCGAAGGTTTTCGTAGAACCAAAAACAATAGGCGATCAAAGTGGACATCATCTGGGAAATACAGGTAAATGTAGAATCTCTTCCAGTCCCGTTTCATAATTTCTGTCATGCCTACTGGAAGAATTGGCCCAAGTTAATCTTCTATCAACTAAATGAGAAAATCTTTTCATTCGAATTTTTTTGGTGGGAGATAACAGGTTCTACAAGTTTAAGAAATGAGCATGGAGGGTGAAGCTGTGGGGGCTGATGTAGAGGCAGCTGGCCGACTGCTGAGTGACACGATTTCTCGTGATTTGCGTTTTGCTTCGGGCGATCTTGTCGACACACTTGACGCTGCTCGGTTTGCCAGCCACCCGTACTCGTCTCCTCAAAAGGAGGTAAGCTCCCTTTTCTTTTCATGATAATAAATATCTTCTTAAAACACTGCACCGCGCAGCCGAAAATTGATATGACGGTCTTCAACCATTTAAGTATCAGAGATGTGTGAACCATACCTTCTTCAACATTCCCGTGCAGGGGAGAAACTTTGACTCAACTTGGTAGCTTGTTCTCACTCAGCTGAAGCCAATGTGGGACTTCCTTCTTGAACATGGTATCAAAAACTGGACTGAATCCTGGAAACGTGATTGGCGACATTGACTAGCTCTGTGTGACAGCTTTCGAGAGTTTTCTGGGACGGAAGAAATTGGACAAGATCAGCGTTAGGTCTGAGAAGATGAGAAGGGTGCTCTCATTTTTAATCCCATCAATACGAAGTTCGAGGGAAAAGTCTCGATTCAGCAAATACATTGCTGTAGAAACTGAGCTTAGTTTTGATCTTAGTGGGAGTTCCATACGTTGTACTCCTCCTTTGCAGGAACGGAGCTGAGACAAAAGAGGAATGTCTGTGTTTTGATTCAATCGGATTTCAGATTTTTATAAATGATTTTGGAAGGATGGAAAATCCAAGAACTGGACGTGTGGTAACGATGCATGGTCCAGATGCTTCTCTGTGATGAGATCGATGTTTATATATTACGTATAATCAGTTTTGAAACCTGATGCATCAATACAGACCCAATAATCAGGAGACTCGAACTGTGAAACGTTAATGATCACAATTTGTTGGAGTGCTGTTTCGGTGCTTAATCTTCTTGGAGAATTAAATTTCTTCAAGCTGGGATTTAGATGTAGGACGAAGTAGTCAAACCAGGACCATGTCTGTGGAAGACAGTTTTCTGGACCTGATGTGGTACCGAATTGTCGTTCGTCGAACGAGATCATTGGAAATTAACGAGTGTATATCTGTTGTTTTGTATTTGTGTGGAGCCAGCTTGTTTCTTATCTCGAGGATAGGACTATATATTGATGATAGTCTTGGGGTGGTTGAAGACCTATTTACTAGTTTTCTGTAACCCAATTTGACTTTGTCTTCCACTTTTACATATGCAGTGGCCACCTGTCGTAGATGTGGTGAATGCAAGGGAGCTCCCACCTGTGTTGATTGAAAGATATAATGCCGCTGGCGGGCAAGGCACTGCCCTTTGTGGCATATTTCCCGCTATAAGACGTGCCTGGGCAACAGTCGACGATACACTTTTTTTGTGGCGATTCGACAAGTGGTATAGTCTACCTTGCCTCTGTCTAAAAGCACCGTGTCAAAATTCGAATCATAACGATTGTGGAAGTAGTTGGAAGTGTTTGACCTCATTGTTTTGTTACTGTTTGCACGATGAGATGACCGCACGTTATTGTTTGCGAATATTTAATCCATAGGAATGTAGAATATTGCGAGAGAGATAATATGGTATGACTTCCCGAACCTCCCATGTCTAGGAGGAAGTGTACTTTCTTCTGGAGGAACGCTATATCTTTTACAAGATCTCTAGACATTCAAGCCTGATACCATGAGTCTTTTTCGGGCAAGATTGGAAATCATACAAAACTAAGCTATTTTGCCACCTCAGGGATGGTCAGTGCCCAGAATATTGTGGGGAGGAGCAAGTGATATGCGCAGTGGGGCTTGCGAAGACTATCCCTGGCGTCTTCGTTGAAGCGATACAGTATCTGGTGGTTATTGCTAATCCAACTGAGGTAAGTACTTTTATCTAGGTTGGAGAAAGCCATGAAAATTCACTTATGACCTCTTGATGAAGGTTGTATGTTCACCTTAAACTGACGTTCTAGATTGTCATATGAAGTCTCATTAATATAGAATGTGCATATCTAAAGATAATGATCTGTAACTGACTTGTAGTCATATATCTTTATCGAGTGTAGAGCATGACTGATCAGCATATAAGGATCGAGAGGAGAGACGAAGCCTTTCTATCGCGGTGAAGGAAGCAGTTTTCTGGATGATATTGCGAAGTCTTTATTATCCACAGGGATACGTAACGAGTGCCCACCGGCTTTAATGATTTATTAATGATACCCACATGGTCACCAACATGTGGGCAGCTTGTTCTGCTTGGGGTATGTTGCAGTGCAAGCAATGACGGCGGCGATCAATTTGCAGAAGTATCACTGCAACTGCTGCCGGAGTACACCATTTCAACAGACGGAATCACGATGACTTGCATCACCACCACCGAACAGGGCCGAATTTTCTTAGGAGGAAGAGACGGACATCTTTATGAGCTCCTCTATACGAGTGGCACGCGATGGCAAAGCAGGTGCCGCAAGGTCTGCCACACGGCTGGCCTTGGCAGTTTATTGTCCAGGTTTGCACTCTAGATCCCCTGAAGTCGGACCCTTCTGTCTTCATTTTCATAAACTTTAGCGTAGGTCAACTATTAGCAGAATATCTCAAAATTCCTGTCTCCATTTGATCCAGGGCTGAAGGTCAGGAAGTATGCAGGTTGGCTTTGTCCATTCTACTTGATTCTGCTGCAAGGTACTGTATCAAAAACTGAGGAAGTTGTCATGCAATCAGGTGGGTGGTGCCTAATGCTCTGAAATTTGGAGCTGTAGATGCTATCGTGGAGGTTGTAATTGATGAGGAGAGAAATATTCTCTATACTCGCACTCAAGAATCTAAAATCCAAGTATTTGACCTTGGAAAGTCTGGGGATGCCGCTCCGAAGAAAATTGCGGAAGAGAGCCGAGTAGGAGATCAAAGAGATGGACGGTATGGAGGAGCTAGAGCACCTGCGGTGAGGAGTGGAAATAGAGCGGGTAAAGCCGCTATTATTTCTATCTCCCCAGTTTCAACTACGGAGTCGAAATGGCTGCATTTGGTAGCTGTGGCCTCTGATGGGCGCCGAATTTACTTGTCCACCACTCCATCTAGTGGTGGGGGTCATGTTAATGGAGTAGCAGGGGGCAAAGTGCAACGCCCTTCGGTCTTGAGAGTAGTTATGACGCGACCTGGGCCACCTTTTACTCCCGGTGGTACATTTTCATTCGGAAGTACAACTGTAGGTCCTCGTACTCAAACAGATGGTCTTCTCTTGAAAGTTGAAGCAGCTCATTGTTCAAGTGGTGTCCTCATACTCTCAGATGCGTCAACTGCTTCCACATCAAGAATCTTAGTCACTTCACGAGATTTGACCATACCAGCCTCAACAAATGCCAATCCTTCTAAGAATTCTGCATGTACTGCATCACGAAGCCTGAAAGCGCTAAGAGAAACAGTAACTGTGGTGGGAGTAGAGGGAAGAACATTGGCCATCGCCGACGTATTGCCTGCTCCTGATAGAGCGGCTGCTGTGGAAGCATCTGTTTGGGAGTCTGGAAATACTGGTCTCATAAATATCTCCACAACTGATGAGGAATCAACCAGAGCGAGGAGATTGTGGGCAAGAGGGGACTTAGCTACTCAGCACATCTTGCCAAGAAGACGAGCAATAGTGCTCAGTACTATGGGAATGATGGAACTTGTTTTCAACAGACCAGTAGATCTGTTGCAAAGGCTCTTGGAAGCAAACACCCAAAGGCTGGCCGTGGAAGAATTTTTCCAGCGTTTCGGTCCCGGAGAGGCTGCCGCTATGTGTTTGCTCTTGGCTGCTCGAATAACCTCAGATGAAGAGAATATGGTGTCAATGTCAATAATGGAAAGAGCAGCCGAAGCCTACGAAGATGCAAGGCTCGTTGGCGTACCTCAAATGCAGGACGGTGGTCAAGCTGGGGGTCAATCTAATCCAGTTAGTGCAACAAGTGGATTCAATATGGTCCAAACAGTACAAGATGCGGAGCCTGTATTTTCTGGTGCACACGAAGGCTTGTGCCTTTGTGCTGCAAGACTCCTGAGATCTGTGTGGGAACTTCCTGTCATGATCTCGAAGGGTGATGCACGAGGTGATAACGGAGATGCTGGGGGCATCCTTACGTGCAGACTTCCTGCTGAAGCCATGCAAACTTTAGAAGAGAAAATCAGATCCTTAGAGCAGTTTCTAAGAGCACGGAGGAATCAAAGAAGGGGCCTTTACGGTCGAGTCATGGGTATGGGAGATGTTTCTGGATATGGGGATCGTCAGTCCCGGTCTTTCGGTGCAAACGGGCAAGACAGGGATTATGGAGCGGTTGTCTCAACAGAATTTGAAACTCCTCCCCCGACGAGAACTGGTGGAGATCGAACACCCATGACCAATAAGCGACAGCGCACGCCATACAGTGCTTCTGAATTAGTGGCGATGGAGGTGGGTTTGATGATTAAGAAACGTGTCTGAGGTTCATGTTACAGAAGGTTCATACTCAATGGATTCTCACTTGTCAGAATTGGATTTAACAATTCTCGCTCACAGTTTTTTGTTTATCCTATGAAAGCTAGGGACAAGGATGTTAGTTAACGGTGCCTCCTAAGTATTGCGGTGGATACATGTAATATTGGTCTTACCTATGCACAGCCGCGAAGCACCGAAGTTTTAAATGATAGATTCACTGAACTTTTGCTTGTCATATAGCATGAATATCCGTTCATGGCGTTCTTTATCTACATCCTGCCTCTCGAAGATAAAGAACTGAATGAGTTGTTCAAAGTTTGGTAAGAAGGATATTGATTGTATGAAAGGAGGGAGTGCAAGTCAGCTTCAAAATATGAACCTTCAAAGATCATAAGCGTCCTTGGGCTCTTTGCCCCTGGATTTATCATCATAAAGAATGTTACCTTGCCTTTATTATAGAGCACAAAGGTATGTCCTTAAGTCTACAAATATCCTATTCGTAAGGTGTACATATGTGGATATCTTGAGACTTATCATGTCATTCCTCTTCATAGCCACAATGGACCCGTATATACTTTGTAGCTGAAGAGCCATAATTCTGATCAAGATTTGACGTTTGTAAGTACTACTGATGTAATCAATGTGTAGCAAATTTGCAATCACTCAAACACCAAGTGCCCGGACTGTTTCTTTCAGGTTAGAGGGTTAGAGTGCGTGAGAAGGTTGCTGAGAAGATCGGGCGAGGCTTTGAGGCTGCTCCAGCTTCTCCAACATCATCATGTAGCACGTCTAGCACAAACTTTGGACGCTCAAATAAGGAGACAACTGAGTCAGCTTACTTTCCACCAGCTAGTTTGCTCCGCCGAAGGTGAACAAGTTGCTACTCGACTTGTTGCCGCCTTGATGGAGGTATGTAATATACTGTGGACCTGCCATTATGTTCTTGCTTACATACGTACCACGCGCAGGTCCGATTTGCTGTGCTAGAGTCGTTATTTTGGAGAAACCAGTCTCTGTAAATTTGGTCTGCAACATGCATGGGACTGGATCACAGTTTAACACACGGATTTTAGATTTTTGTTCTTAGTTACGAATTTTGGCCCTCCTTTTCTCCCTTTTCTGTATGCTGTATAGTTTATGGTTTTGGACTTCGTAAGGGGCAAAGAAAAAACATGATAATTGATGTATTTCTAAGTGAGACTTGTCTGATTTCATATGCCTCAGTATTATGTTGCTCCCGATGGAAGAGGCACCGTAGATGACATCAGCATCAAACTGAGAGAGGGCTGTCCCAGCTATTACAACGAATCAGATTACATGTTCTACCAAGCAGTGGAATGCTTAGAGCGGGCAGCCTCTGTGCATGATACAGAAGAAAGAGAAAATCTTGCTAGGGAAGCTTTAGATCTTCTTGGGAAGGTACCTGAGACAGCTGATCTTCTCAGCGTTTGTCAACGATTTGAAGACATCATGTAAGTCGATCACATTGTCACGGCTCCTACTGAGCGTTCTCAAACGCCCCGTTTTTTTTGGGTTCGACTGCTTGCTTTCAGCTGCTCGTTTTCACCTTGTATTGCAACTCTCCGCAGGTTTTATGAAGCCGTTGTAGAGTTGCCATTGCGTAAAGCTCGTGCATTGGATCCTCCCGAAGATGCATTCAACGAGTCCGTTGAGGAAACTCAGCGGCAAGCTGCCCTTGCTGCAAGGCAGCAGTGCTATGACGTGGTTACCAATGCTCTTCGCACATTGAAAGGGAGAACTGGTCATAGAGGGGAGGTCGGGACCCCCAGCAGACCGGTCCCTGGTCACTCATCATTGGATGACGCTACGCGTGAGACTTACATTCGGCAGGTTGTCCAATTAGGCGTGCGCTGGCCCGATCGTGCATTCCACCGGTCTTTGTACCAAGCCATGATAGAGTTGGACATGGAGAATGAACTGCTTGAACTTGGTGGACCTGATCTTGTACCTTTTCTACAGAGTGCTGGCAACTATCAAACGATGCAGGTATTAGTGTTGTATCTCTCTTATTTTCTGTCAAACTGTGCTCTGTGTTTTTGTTTGTTTTCCTTAACATTTGTGCCTAGCATTGCAAGCCAGGCGCGGGCCGAATGATCTTCAGTCTGTGAGGCGAACACTATTTTGGGGAATAGTAGATTTGTGGTTACGGCACATTTTCAACTTAGTGTTGTTGGATGCTTGTTGTTGCGCTATTAATCTTCTTCTATCTTATCATCGTAGTGGTAATCTCTTGCCCCTTCACACTTCTCTCTTTGCTTAGTGGCCTTTCCATCTCTCGCAGGCAAGTGGTGGATCAATCAGGACGCCTAAAACTCCTCCACAGATGTCAGGATCCCGAGTACGACAGCCCATTACTTCTGAACAAGCCAAACATCTGGAGCTTTTGTCTCGTTATTATGTAAGGAGACGTCAACATGCACTGGCAGCTCACGTTCTTCTTCGGCTAGCTGAAAGGAGGCAGATTGGGGGCAGTGACGATCTTTCTCTTCAGCATAGGTTTGTAACTTCAATTTTACATTAATTGATATGTCAGATTTAGTTCATCGCGCGAAGCTGTGTTATACTTTCATTCAGTAAGAGAGACCCCGTGCGTGAAGCGCTTTTATTGAAGGAGGTAGAAGTATTTGTTAAGTACGCTGGCAGAGAATCTTCCAGTATTACGTACAAAATTATCCATTTGAGATATGGAACATGTTTTTGTTTGTTCCTACTGCAGATTTGAGTATCTAAGCAATGCAGTTTTACAAGCTAGGAGTGCCACAAGCAGTGCTGGCGCTCTCGCGACAACGACAGAGATTTCTGACAGTGGACTACTCGAGCTTTTGGAGGGCAAACTTGCAGTGCTCCGCTTCCAGATAAAAATACGTGATGAGCTTGATGCAATTGCATCTAAGTTTCAAGGTCCTTCAGATGCAGCGAGCAATGGTAATCTGGACGGTGGTGACCCTTATCCTCCCCAAGGTTCCTTGTTCGAAGGAGCTCAATGGCGCCTTGCGCGAGAAAAAGCAGCTGAACTTGAGAACGAACTGAAGAGTATCACTCAGTTGTACAACGACTACGCTGTACCTTTTGAGCTGTGGGAGGTATAATGAAGAACCTCATTCTAATATTTGTGAAATATACACTATGTTGCCAGGGAGTATGGTCGTGCAGCCAAGACTGCTATTTGTCCTTGGGTCCTTAGAGTGGTAAACTTTATAAATGTACGAGAGTATTGAGACTCAGTTCTGAAGGTCGTTTGGTGTATTTGCTGATGAGTTTTGGGAATTTGCCCGCAGGTCTGTTTGGAAATTTTGAACTTTTCCAATTATTCGAGTGACAAGGATAACAGTGTGATGAGGGAGACGTGGACCCGATTGCTGGACCAAGCGATTAAACTTGGGGGCGTAGTTGAAGCTTGCTCTGTTTTGAGGCGAGTAGGCCCTCAACTGTACCCAGGAGGTGGTGGTAGCCTTCCTCTCGACTCGATTTGTCTGCATCTCGAGAGAGCTGCACAGGTATTTTGTAGCACTTGATTGTGTTGCTTTCTTGAACTTAACTTGCATGTAAGTGGATTCTTATCTTCAAACAAACTACAGCACATATTGCAGTCTGTTCATTCGTAGACTGTTTTGTCTGCATCTCGAGAGAGCTGCACAGGTATTTTGTAGCACTTGATTGTGTTGCTTTCTTGAACTTAACTTGCATGTAAGTGGATTCTTATCTTCAAACAAACTACAGCACATATTGCAGTCTGTTCATTCGTAGACTGTTTTGACGTATCGCAGGACCGGTCAGCGTTAGGGCTAGAAGTTGTGGGTGAAGAGGACATAGGGAGGGCGCTTTTACTGGCGTGTAAAGGGGCAGCAGAACCTGTCCAAAGAACCTACGATCGGTTGCTGGCAAGCGGAGCAATTTTACCCTCACCTCCACTGCGTTTGCAAATGCTTCGCTCTGTGCTCTATGTCATGCGAGAGTGGGCGCGACAAGTTGTCACGGAACAGGGCGGCAGTGCCCTCGGTGGTAGCTTGCAGACTATCGGAGGAAATATGAGTCCCGGAGACAGCGGTGTGCTAAATCGAGGTGTCAAAGACAAGCTGTGTACAGCTGCCAATCGGTAAGACTTAAAACACCATGTGGTAGACAAATTAAGCTCTTTGATCCATATAATTGTTTTCATTCAAGTTATCTATGTACGTGGTGTGATGCCTGAAGTTTCTGACCCTCTATTTCACGTTAAAACGTCTTGCAGGTATATGACAGAGGTGCGCAGGCTGGCAATGCCACAAGCACAAGTAGATAGTGTATCTCGCGGATTTCAAGATCTGGAAGAAATGCTTCTGGGATAATCGCAGGCTGGCTGTGTGAGAAGAGTGTACAGTAAGAGCTGCACAGAGAGGCAGTTTGTATTTAACCTACACGTCAAGGATGATGGCTAGCTGGATGCATGTCATGATATGACACGAGGTAAGAACCAATGAAGCTAGCCTAGACAAGATTGTGTGATAGTGAAGTCTCCACAAGGTTCTACATTCGGAATTTGTGTTAGAGTAAATTATGTCACTGAGCGGGGCTGCGCCATAGTTTTAAAGGTTTTGCAGTCCTACGAAAGTCAAAGTTATCAAGCTTCAACTCTTACAGTTGGAGCTGGAGCCTCACTTTTGGCAGATAGCCATGAATATAGTCCCGTTGGGTAGCTACACTAGGTAGTTCATCACGATCTCAATTTATGGTGGAGGCGATTATCCGGAATTTTTGTATCGGCATATTCATCATCATTCTTTCTTTCACCATGCGCCAAACTATGATGTTATATTTTTTCACATGTTATCAAGCACTATTTCTTGCACAAGGCTTCTGTATAACGAAAATGATTGTGGGCTTGAACCTGGGCTTGAAGAGTTTTTTTACTCTCAAAAGGAACGACCGATGAGAACTGTTTCGTTTGAAATCCTCGTGGAAGGCTGTCTCAGAGTTTTCTCCAATAAGACGATGTGGCTGTAGCATCACGTTTGCTACGTTGGGGCTTTAGGCTCCTCCAAAGGTCCTGTCCGGGTGAAGTGCTCGTGTTCATATTTTAGATTTTGAACCCTCACAAGGAATGCTTTATCTAAACTCACCACGTTGAGGTCACTCACTACCTGGTAATCAAACAGGAAATCCTAGGTGACTTCTCGCTGTCACTGTCACGGAATCTTCATTCCCTGAAATTGAGAGAGATATCTGGATATTTGTGCTGAATGTATGACTCCTCCAGAGGATCATGTAAATACATTATCTGAACAGAAGGGCCTGGAAGTGTTGATCCTTCGACATTTGCAAGAGCATCAGAAATGTCTATTTGTGCTGTAAGAGGACAGTGAATGACACAAAATTCTTACGGAACGTCAAGAAGAAGAGGATAGCAGGGAAAAACAGTCAAAGAGTGCAACACGAGATACGCGAAGCAACCAAAGACGATATCAAGTTTCCTGATGATGCTATCCGTAGCCAATCAATGTCAAATGCATCGAGCAAGGACTTGCCTCTTCAAGTAAATGTCACTTGAAGCACTGCTCGTCCACATAGGACTCACTGCGTCCATTTGGTACGTCAACTGGATTGACAGAAACTTCTGCAGCAACACTCACGGAAATTTTTTCACACGAAAGAGAAACCAACTGATTTCTTTGGTCGAAAGAAGGACCGTTTCTTTGTATTCATCTGAGTCAAGACATAAAAGAATATAGCTCAAGTCGCTCAGAGCATCCCACCTCACTTCAGTGCCAAGGCCCCGCAGTCCTGTGTGCACTGTGTAGTCCACTAATACTGGTATTGTTGTGCTGTAACAGCGTATTAGTATCGGCTGTTGTATAGACCCTGGTGCTGTAAATTTGAGCCATGTCGAGCGTCCGCTAAGTGGTCGGCCTATTCCCTCACTATTCAACAATTGTAGCACCTTTCGGCACACTCACTAAGTGACGAGGTGACTACAACTTCAGATGTCACGATGCTAGATGTCGAGGTACGTAACAAACCTTTCGAGATTTTTCTACTTCAGAGTAAAGGGAGGTGACACATCTCTCCCCTGATTTGCACGGTTCCAACCCTCGTCCACATTCGATCTGATGTGGTGCACACAATCCAGCAGATAAATTGTATCAAAACTTACAAAAGAGATGTGACTAGTGTCAAGCTCTTCGCTCCCAAGACTTGGGAATTTTTTCAGCATGTATACTTTCCTTTGCCAGGCCTGAAGACGTGCCCATCTACTGTTTCGCTTTGGGGAGAGCTCCCTTGCCAACTTTGCGGTGGAAAGGAATCGGTCCCGTTCTTCTTCCAGCCTTCTTCTTGGAGCTCTTGGTGCCTGTGCTCTTGCCGCGCTTGAAAACTGCCAGCGTCTCGATGCTGTCTGTGCCTGGGAAGAAATTGAAGGCATGTGCGTCGTCCAGATGCCAAGCATCTCCCTCGATGAGAGCTGCACAGTCTCGTTTGAAGGACTCCCATCCACAACTGACATAAATCAGAGTGTCAGGCCAAATTACGTCCACCTCCTCCTGCCAGTCGCTTGCACTGTCCTTCACCACACTGTCTTGCTTTGCTCGGACGATCCACGGGCGCTTCTCGACCCGATTCACATTACTGGAAGATGGAGACTTCTGCTTTCCTTGGCCTCGAAGGGAGGCGAGTCGCAGGGCCTCGATGACCGGGGCATCCAGCCCTTTCCTGGGAGGATCCACGATGACCACCTCTGCTCCTTCTAGCCAATTTATGGGGCTGACCGAGGCATCGGCGCAGTGCCAGCTGATTTTGCAGTCGACTGAGTCCGGAACTCGGGCCAGAGAGAGCTGGAAAGAGTCTTTCGCCTCCTTGTTCACCTCCACACATTTGACAGACCTGCAAGCTCGCGTGACAGCAAGACTGATACCGATGATACCGACGCCTGCGTACAATTCCACCACGGCGGAATCGCGCTTGACCTTCTTCTGCAGCCTCCGCAGAAGGGCTTCGAAAGCCTGGACATTCGCCTGCCCGAAACTGGCCGGCGTGAAGCAAATGTCAGCCCCGCCAACTCGCTCCCACAGCTGTTGCTCTCCTAGAAGATGCCGCCATTTGCCTCCAAATATTATGTTAGTGCGGGTGGTCTGGAAATTGGCCCACACGGAATGCAAAATTGGAGTGGACCCTCTTCTGCCGAGCCCGCCTTTCTGCCACAAGAATTCCGCCATTGGTTGCAGTAAATCCGCTTCCACCGACTTCTCCTCTCGAGCGTTCCAAACCAGTGTCACCTGCACTTTGCCCTCCGCATATCGTTCGGCTGCTGGCAACGAGGAATTGAACGTCGTCACCACCATCTGAAGGTATCGGAGCTGGCCGGTGTGCGTTTCTTCATTGTAAGGCTCGACGCCGAGCGTTCGGATGGCTTCCTTCACGAGCTCGACTGCGGCATTGATCCTCGGATGATGCGTTCGGCAATTCGGAATGTCGACAACGACATGGCTCCCTTCTTCGTACAGCCCAATCAAGGGATTGTCGCAAGTTCCCCGGACGGCGAGCTTCGCACGGCATCTCCAATCCCAGACACCGACGGTCGTCAAGGCCATGTCGTCCACCGCATGCCTCTTGAAAAAACTCACGGCGTCTCGCATGACGCGAGGCTCGTCCAGAGCTTTGTCGATGACGCAGCCCGAGCACCGTGAGAAGTGCTCGCAGTCCAAGTCCGCGGGGGCCATCGAGGAACCATTTCGCGAGGGCGGTGGCGAGGAGCGCGTTCCTCCCGTCCTGCGACGATCGACATCGTCCTCATTTCCGGACCTGCGCAGCAATTTGCTCCGACCTCGAGCCCCGGCGCTCTCCGCCCCTCGCACCAGCTCCTCCAATCCCACTCCCTTCTGCAACTCCTCGTACGTCCTCGGGAACGAGCACCGCACCCTCGCGGCGCTGCGATTCCCCCCGCTCGGCAGCGCCAGCGCGAGCGCGAAGCAGCCGGCGCTCCGGTGCATGAGCTGCGAGCTCGCCATGCTCCGCCTCTGGAATCCAATTCTTCAGCGCTTCGGGGCTCGACCTTCGAACCAGCGCCAGCGCTGCCCATCGATCCAGACCCCGACGGCGTGACCGGATAGGCAAGCGAACGCGGCCAACCGAGTAGGCCACGGCCGCTCCGCAACCGAGTAGGCAGCCTATCTACCGTGGTCCTTGCCAGGTTTCCTTCGAGGTCAACATCTTCATGAACATGAGTCCATTTCCTAGAGTCCACTGGTTAGAAGGATAATACGCCAGACACCCCAGTGACTTTACGATACCCATTAGACACTTGAATTAGCAAATAATCAGCGTCCCACGGACAAGATGGCTGAGAGAATGGATATGGGAGTATGTAAACTTTACATACATGTCACAGACTTTACATTGTAAAGTTTGTGACATGAACCATAGAATCATGTGATACTTGATTACGTGGCATTATTTCGGGACTCTATGTTGTGATTTTAGAAAGAACCACCAGCATGCGCTAGTTCACAGTTTGTGTGAGATGGCTAATCATTCACTACTAAGATAAGGTTTCCAATTGCACACTTGCTCTTAGACAGGTCTTTATTCAGCCAGCCCATGGCGACAACCGCTAACCTTTCATTGGGTCTAGTGTATAAATGCAGGAGATCATGTTTCAATCTAATGGTAAATGGTAAAGTAATCACTCATCAAGATTCAAGAGTTGTTCTAGGAAGCAATGGCACAAGATCAAAAATATAGGTAGGTGGGGTTTATGTATTCCTAGCAATTCCAATTACATTGGAAGGCTTAGATCTGTTGTTATAGGGGAATTCTTGCTATTGGTCATTTTTACCATTGTTCCTCCAAGAACAAAATCGCCCCTCTTCGTTAGTTTGGAACTTTGTCCTAGATGATGCGAGTTTGTCACCTTTGTCTTGTCGGTGACATTGACTTACACCCTACTTAGTGTGTTATCAATATTAACGTTGAAATTTACTTTAGCCTTGTTCCACTTTCAACCATCTTGAAGTATCTTGAATATGCGTGACTACGATTCGTATGTCTGATACCCTAAACGTATTCTAATGTTCTTATCACATGAATGCTATAGACTTATTTCAAATTATAAGTGACAATCAGTTAAGTGAAATGTGTTAACTTTTTTTTATTCCACGCTATTTGGATGGGGCTAAAGTTATTTTCGATTTTTTCTCAACGAGAGAAGCACATTCCATAAGCACTATCTCAGTTTAACAAGATAGTCACATAACTTTAGTTGAATGAAACCTATCGATATATGTGTGTGTGTGTCTGTGTGTGTTTTAAATGTGATCTATTCAACTTCGTTGGTATTCCTATCCAATAGAGGGTCCAGAATCTTTTCAATATCAATGTGTTTACATAATCCAGATGGAGCATACCTGATATCTATAGCAGAATCTCTTGAAGTTGTCATGAAATGCCTGCACTTAGTCTAAATCACATGGATTCCAAACTATGCTCTTGACGTTGACGACGTTAGATGTAACACTCTTCATCCTGGACAAAACTTCAACTCAGATTCCTTAGAACAGTATGACCACCATCACATCTAAGTAAACCAACTTCTCGCAAGAAGTGATGATAACTATCTGACATGTTAGTAAGAAGTACTCTCCGACTTGATTGATTTACTAACTAAGTAGAGAGATATACAACAAGATTAAGATTGAAGTCATGCTCATTTGAAGACCATATGTGCACATGACCAACGGGATTAGCTGTGAAAGCCGAGAACCTAAGATAGTGTGCATACATTCAAGCGACAGCCGAGGCAATTGCTGCGAAAGTAAGCCAGTTTGTTTTTCAAATCCATACATATATGCAGAATAGGAAAGTAATTCAAGTCGTCGCTAGAGTAGTTTAACAACTTCAAACGAAAAGGAAGAAAAAATGGCTAATAATGCCGAGAAGGTAACAAGAAGGGTATGTGCCAGCTTAGATTCTATTTCTGCTCGATAGAAGTCCCGAAGCTGTCATGAGCTTAGAATTCTGATGTACATCAAACTAACCGAGCTCTGAAACAGATACCCACGTCAATGTCAAAGACTAGGAATTTTAATCGTAGAGCTCTAAGATGCATCTCCAGAACTTCTCAATATAAAACGTTTCTTACCAGGTATACAACGAACTGGAGTTGGTAGGTATCACTCGAAATCAGAAGACAGGAATAGGACTTTGTATCTGATGGTTAAGTTGAAAAATTCTCCATTGTCTTCCCGACAGGAATTATCCGCGAAAAGGAAATTTTTTAACAGTGTACAAGTAGTACAACTTTCAGGTCAGATACAACAGTGATATCTGTTTTCAATTGAGGGTAAGTTACTAATAAAATGGCAACTGTCAAGATCCTTTCTCTCAATTCGTCAGCTAACGCTACTTCAAGGGTCGGAAGCTTCCCCAACCGGAAGGCTGGACATTTCTGACAACATCTACATTTTTTCCGTTCCACCAAGTTCCACGCTTTTAGTGCTTGAACACCAATGTTCCCTGCCTCCCTCTGGAGCAATGATTTTGCTATCCACGTACATAAACAGAGGTCAAAGTTGAACCAAGGCATGGGGTACTCCACCGTATACAGAAATTTGGCGCTAGCACCTCTTTCAGAGAAGCTTAGCTCCCACAATGAACCCAGACTGCACATACCTGCCTTTGCATGAACAGCAAGGTTTCTACTATCCCATTTTACTCCGAGGCATGAACTTGATAGGCCATGTCAGCCGAGCTTACAACACAGCTACTTACTGATCCCTGCTGCACAGCGCATCGAATTCTTAAGCGGAAAGTCTTTCGATTTCCGCTTTGCACAGTCCAAGAACAAGTCTTGCATCAAATCTGAAGCTCCCCATTCACCAGTCAGACACGTTTACAAATTTACAAGTGCTTTCCCCTGCAACAAATGAAATTTAAAAAAAACGTTTCAGCAACGTAATTTTCCCGTCCCCATGGTCTACATCATCGACAATTATCGATAATGTCCAAGAGTGCAATTCACACTTGGAAAAAAGGCCAATATCTTCCATATTTACATGGATCAGTAACTATAACGAGCATGTCTTTTACTTATGGCTGCATACTCAATGCGCAGGCAGAGGAACAACAATCCCGACAGCAATCTTGTTCTAGTGGGGCAATCTGCCGAACTCTTCGGTTATGCAGCTCAGCTCTGACAGCTTACCAAGTCGACGGGGATGGGTAGGAGTCGAAGACCCAAGAAGTACAAATTCTCGCCATCTCTGCTTCTTGATCAACAATTGACAAGAAGACAATTGAGTCTTCAGCAAGTCTATCTTGCTCTTCTTGGACTTCAGTTGCTCTACCGATAGAGGGAACGTGAGCTAAGGTTTATGCAACAAAGTATAGCGATCCTCCTTCGGTTCAAGTCTCCTGGCTCGAAATGTACTACAGCCTGGGAGATGCTGCAAAATCCCAAGAGACCCATGTGCACGGATTAACCACACCCGTCAATCAACAGGTGCTGGTTAGATTGGCCAGAAATAAACCTACAGTGATCCCCATAGATCTCAGCTCGCTTCCATCATCTTACAGCGAACCACCATGGCCCGAAACTCTGAAAGGCTTAAGAAACCATCGTCATTCTCATCGAACACATCGATCATGTCCTGCAGCTCCTGTTCTGACCAAATAAAGTCCTGAGAAATTGCCGCATCCTCCAGGAGCTTGAGAGAAATGGCCCCAACTTCACTCCCGGCGATTGCAGCGAAATAAGAATCAACTTCGCTCTGCGTGAATTTCAACTCTCTGCCTCCCCTTCTCTTCCTCGGCTTCGAAGTCCCGGCGCCTTTTGCACCAGGGGTCGTCACCCGCGATTCGTCTTTGATATCACCCTGCTCCAGAGATAATTGTAGCGCCTGCTCAAGTTCCAGGTGCTCGCCATCCGTGTCACCATCCTTCGAAGACGCCCCGGGGCTGGACAGAGCTTGAAGGCGAAAGCTCAATTTTTCACTCTTCGCCTTCTTCGCAAAGAATCGGCTGCTCTTTCCTTCCTTCTTGCTGGAGCGCTGTACGATTTCTTCATCGTCGTCTGGCTCGTCGGCCTCCTCCTCCGCCTCCGACTCGGAAGCTCCACTGGGTTCGTATTCATCGTCATCTTGCTTCTTCGTGGCGAACTCATCCTCCTCCTCCTCTCGAGCTTCCTTCCGGGGGGTGGCCTTTCCTTTCTTTCTGGCAGAGGCTTTGGGAACGAAAGCGCCCTCGGAATCGGACCCGGACGCTGCCTCGTCCTCGGAGCCGTCAGTGTTCCAGTCGACGATTCTGATCGGGGCTTTGGCCCGCGTGCTCAGGCGAGTCGCCCTTCGGGGGCGCACGGCGTCCACCTTCTCCTTCCCTCGGCTCGTCTGCGACTTCGGTTTCTTCGGCACGGGCTCCAAAGCGATCGCAATCTCTGGGACCTGCAAGTTCGCCAGCATGTCGCGGTTGCGCTTGATCCGCTCCAGTCTCGCCTTCTCGTAATCCGTCACATCGGACTCCTCGCCTTCCCCCTGCGTTTGCAACATTTCCTCCTCCGTATTCTCGCTCGCCATCGCCGAATTCTCCAATCCAGCCAATTCTCTTGATTCCCGTAGACGCAGCTCGCGCACTCTATCGCTTCTCTCGGGAGCCCGACGAGCCACTGCGCCGACCCATTCAAAAGCCAGTCCGAAGGTGCATCGAGATGACCGCAGGGAGGAACTTCGCGCGAAGAGGTGGTAACTGTACAATCATCAAAGGCAGAAATGTCGGTTTCTAATCTCATGAAGAGACCTCTGAGAAAATCGCCCCTCCATTCATGAGGTCGACGAAGTTACACTGGCCGCAGACTAGGCGGCTCAAGGCGCTGCGTCGTCCTGGTCAAGCCAAATTCAAGGAATTGCAGCAAGCAATTTGAGCTCGGTTCGATCTTCAGACACGAACGAGGCAGCTCCGAGAGCCGCAAAAATTCGACCGACCGACCTCCAAAACCCAGAACCCTCCTCGTCGATCCACATCAACCGCGACCAAGAGCGTCGAAGCACGAAGGGTGGAGTGGCGGGGTGCACTCGGAGCGTTGAGTGTTGCGCTCGGTGCCAACCGTCGTCTCGTCGAAGCAGAGGCTAGAGAGCCTGCGCACCAGCCGACTGACAGAAGCGGCGGCGGACGGAATTCGCATCAACTCCGGCTGCAGCTACTGCGCTCCGAGGATCGGAGCGTAGTAGTAGAGAACTTTGGCACAAGGATGGCGAGTCTCTAGCCGATCGTCGGATGACGTCCGCCTCATACTGTCGTCCCTACGACCTTCACATGACGAGTTTATACGTGCGGCGTGACAACTGGTTCGTAACGGGCGTGTGGTCCCGCCGTCTCGGTGCCTCACCGTCGACGTTAGATAATCACGGTGTTCTCTCTTCCTCCATCGATAGACTGACATCGACGGCTGTGCTTCTGTATCAACCGTTGCATCGATTATGGCTCATCGAGCTCCGCGAGGCCTACTGGGTACAGCTCTGGCGGTCTCACTGCGAGATACAAAAGTTACGAAAAACGTCCAGCGAGTTTGTGTTTTCAAGCTGGATGTGTGTTTTTTTCTACACGGAAACGTAACCGAAGCTTCGTGGACAATTTGTGGCATAGATTAGTCATGCAAACTAGTTAGCAAATGCGTTGATTATAATAATCCAAAATAAGTTCTTTGCTAAAATTGTAGAAAGATGTTAGTTTAATTTTTTTGAAAATTATTGTAAAAATTAAAATATATGCACTGACAATAGAGTTGAATGCTATCCATCTACATAGATTTAATTGTGAAATGGTAAAGTACAAAAAGTTTGAAGTTGAAAAAACGCTTGTGGATCTTAATTAAGAATGTTGTCATACTGTCACAATGAATAATATATCAAATACAACTTAGAATATTTGAACTATCTAGTTCACATAATTCACATGTAATAAAATATTTGATGTTCTATCATATAATATGATTGCTCATATATAAATGGTAATAGATCAAGCCCGGGGGAACCAAAGGGTCAAAAGGCTGAAAAACACAATACAAGCGACAGCCACAAACAAGGGAAAAGACCCCAAAGGCCAAACCCTAGCTAGTGCCAAGAGCACTAGAACGATAACTAATAATGTCCCGGTAGTAAATATGTGATATACTAAATATGTATCGCATTTTCAATAGATAGACCATTTACTTCGTCATCTGGTATGATAAGAGCCCACATATTTTTTCAAAGATATGTCAAAATTAACCTACTTTGTTCAGTTTAGTTACAATTGGAATTTTGAATAATCATCACCTGATTCGATATAATGCTAACCAAAAAAGAAGATGAAGTCTCTATATGCCCTTATACTTGAAAAACTTGATTGACATAAGCTATTAGATTTAGACCCTAAACCAAATATACATAGTGTCATGCATAGTATGAATAATGATTAACTTTGTAATCCTAGCTTGAAACTCTAGAATCTGTTGTAAATTCATCCTATTCTTAGTTCAACACATACAAGTCTTACTCCCATGTACATATCTAAACGTGCATCATCTCAACCATCACAATACTAATAACTTTATATGATGAATAGCTGTTTTTATGAGATGACCATTAAGATTACAATATTATTCAGACAAAAATTATTGAAGTTGTGGACTAATGAATGAATACAATGTGACATATATTTTTTACGTGAAATTGATTAAAAATTGATGAAATGACATTTATTTTGCAATTTTTTTGGTGAATTTTTTTTAAATATGATGAAAATAACATTAACGAAATTCTTTAGATTATTAATCAATCAAATCATTTTTTATTGTAGATTTTAAGTTTGATCTATAAATTATGAGCAAAACCTAAAAACTCACAATTTATTGTATAAGAATAATTAAATTATATGGTATGAAACCTATGCAATTGATCAATTTATTTTGACATGTATTTTAAAATTAAATTTTTTTTGAAAATAAATTAAAAAATGAAAAAATTTGATTTGAGTAAAATTTTAATAATAATAAATTTTTTTAAAAATATAACATCGTATTTTTTACTAAATTGGGAAAAAAATTCTATTAAGATATAATCTACAAACACATATTGTAAGTTTGTCATTGAAGATTAATTTTATTATAATAAAACAGAATAGTCTTATCAATAATTTGAACTGAAAGTTCAAACAAGACTGAAAAAAATGTGCTAACAAAAACTAGTCCTATCAACAAGCTATACTGAAGAAACACATTTCAAATTTTATTTGCTGTAATTGATTAATTTATTTAAGTTTCAATTTAAAATTTTTGTAATAATTTTATTTATTAATTTAAAATAATATTAATATAAAAATTTAAATAAATAAAAAAATCATATATAATATAAATCTTAAATGAAATTTGATGATGTAGGTTTACATAAGTATTATTTAAAAAATTGAAGTGAAAAGTGCTTGAGAGCAAAAATTTGAAATTTCAAAGTAATCTAACTATGAAATTGCTAAAACATAGAGTATTACATATCATTATACCAAATCTGAACATATCAACCGCACATTGTCATCATTTTCTAAACATTGTTCTTATGACTATTTGTTGTTATTATTTTCTTTCAACATAACCTCAAAATGAATATTTGAGGTCCAAAACTTGGAGATGAACTATACTACAGAACTTGCATTACAAAATTTAAATTATAAAATTAGTTAATTGATAACACGATAGTTTTGTTTTAAAATTATTAAGAATTTGAGCAAAATTGTAAATTTAACTCTTTGTATTTTGCATGGAATTCGCTTGATTTTTTTATATAGAGACCTAAAATTTAATGACGTGTTCACATCAAAAAGTAGATGAATCATTGATCTAAGAATTGTCCAGTTTCAATAGGATCCGAAAACATTTATGTCATCGCAAACTTTTAGATGTTAATTTTGTCGCTACAATAATTTGTTTCATTTTTCTTTCCATTGCAAAAATACTCTTATAGTGATTAGCAAATACCGATATTTGAGCTACATCTGGTAAAATTTGTGCAATTAAGAACAATGTAGTGACATTCACTTCTGCACAAACGTCTCAAAAGTCAACAACTTCCACAACTTTTATTTTGCATTCCAAAAAAAAATGTTGCAATTATTCCTCGCCTCATGTAACATTAGAGATCAAACTAATAGCTCATTAGAACACAACTATGAAGATGAAAGATCACTAAAACGATTTTTCTCTCATTTATATAGATCTTACCAAGAAGATAAGATCCTAACCAAACCATTAGTTCCACTCTTAGTTGAGATGATGTGACAACTATGAATAGTGCAGGATGAAGAAACAAAAATTTCATTTTGAGTAGATTCTTTTTTAATTTTGATTAACTGAAGATGATAAAACTTTTACTTAATCCCGTTCCGCTCCTATTTGTTTTTCTTTCCTACTCCTATCTTGTTGATCGCTCTCTAAACTTTGAGATCTATGTTGGATATAAACGTTAGTCGATATTAAAACATGAATAAGTGTACCATCAAATAAATTGATATGTGATTGGTTTCAATAAACTATTGTGTAATGCATAGTTCTCATAAAGTAATTTTTGATCTAAATAAAATATTATTAAAAATTAAATAAAGAAGTCAAATTGTAACAAGTTCAAACACATGAAATAAAAATTTTAGAGTGCAAAATGTAAAAATCAACATATCAAAATAAAAATTTGAAAAATTAAGTTTTAAAATCAAATTCTAAAATTGAAAATATAAATTTAATAAAATTAAATACTTCTAATGAAAAAAAATTTAAAATAATCATGATGGCAATGAATAAAAAAATTTGAATTTTTTTACTCAAATTATATCAAAAAATTGATTCAGCTAAAAAATTTTAAAATAGGAAACTAAAAACAAAATTAAAGTAAGCTTAAAAAATTAAAGTAAAAATATGTATGATGCAAGATTCCATCAACAAATATGAAATGTAAAGCATGGAAATTTCACATAAAGAAAAATTAAATATAAATGGATTTATATAAGAACACATTTAGTATGAAGATGACATGATTAAAAATGCAATTGCATGAAGTACACATGAAATTTACATGATTCAACTAGTATTTATTTTCAGTCACTGAATTAAGAACTTTTGTGCTTAATTCAGTGACTGAAATTAAAAACAAGAATACATGTTTTGAATGATTTTGGAAAATATGAGAATTTCTGATTCAAATTTAGTAGAAATGTAATTAAAAATGAAATAAGATTCAAAATTAAAATGTGTAATTTACAACATTAGTAAACAATGCAACATGATAAGCTAGTTCTCAATATGGTCAAACGAAGTTGCAAGATAATAGGAAGTAATCAATGTAATATGATAGTGATATAGATTTTGCTAGAGAGCTTTGAATATATAAGATTTAAGTGGTGATTTCCACCAAGAATTTGATTGATGTATTACAAATGTCAAACTACTTAGCAATTACAGTGACCTGAATAATTGTCACCAATTAAATTTAATATTAAAGTATTGAATAGTAGTGTAATAACCAATCTGGTTGTCTAATGTCTACAAAGTGAACTTCGGATTTGGAAAGCTTCAGAGCCAATTCATAATACTCAAACATTCCACACTAATTAATTTGAAACACCTTTATATCTGACACGATGTGGACAGTAGAAGTATTTACTCATCGTGTAACCAATATTGACAGTAGCATTCTGATTTATAAACATCAAGTGTTATTTGTAATATTTCGAAGTTAATTCACAATTCCATGTCAACCATGAGAAAGGATAAGTCATAAATATGACTCCAGAGAATGATCACTTCGTGTACATCTGACACATATACCTCAAATACTGAGCACAGTGAAGTAGCAATCAGGCTCCTCCTCTCCCTCTTCTCTTGATTCGACTTCCTAATTTAAGTTTCTTGATGTCTAATTGAACTGACTAAGTCTCAGCCCATGACACATAATCCAGTAGTCATCAAATTATCAGGATGCAACGAGTCCAATATGCGTGATAGTGCAGGTTGAAACTGCCTCGCAGGACTTTGACGAGTCCACTTACTATGACAACGGTCTTCGCGCTGGAGTTACTCATGCAATCCACTTGGCACGGCAGGCGAAGCAGTTCATACAGCACCGATGGCGTTGATCGTCGTGAACTTCGAGCACTACATATGCAGATGTGAGGTACTCCTCTTTACTACTGCTATCAATCCTGCTCGCAGTGTTGAGGTCTGGGAAATACAGCAACATTGGTACTCAGTCGGACGTTGAGTCTACTCGCACCAGGTTAACACTCTTCTGCACTCTTATAACTTTTCCCCTTGTATACGTCACGCACTTCACTTGTCTTTTCCCGATCTTCGCCTCTGAACCTTTTCCCAGGTTCTAGAGTTTTGGAGTGAACGCTGAAGTGTCCAACTATGTGCGTTCCACCACTCATTGCATGATAGGACGCGCTTACGCATGTTGGAGGTTTCATCTGTTATGTCTCATACGAAAAAGTTTTTTGATAAGTGTATTCGTTGACTGTATACGGAGTTCAAACAGGATTATCGTTAAAGGAGTCATTGCAGTTATATGTATGTATGCGTTTCAGAAGATTATGTTGAGCTTCATATAACGTGCAAAGCAAAAACTTTAAGGAAGTTGATCGTTGCAGTTGGAGTAGCGACAGGTCATTTATTCACGGACGTTTCTCTTTATCTCAAGCTATGAGTTTGTAGGGTCAAACTTAGAGAGACACTGGGTGGATATGTTGGTATATCGTGAAACTCTTCTGATCTGAAACCAGGTTCATGACGGAGGATTACTCTTGTTCTTTGGCCTTGTTCTTGGTAAATGACGATAAGTCCACATTCGTACAAGTTACATGAAAGCCGACAGGGGCAGACGAGAATCTGCTACTCCGCAACATTGAGGCTTAAAATGAGCAGGCGAGAATATTCCCTGTGTCTCTGATAGAGAAAATTCCGTTATCAGCACCCTTACTCGCTATCTTCGACCTTCACATTCGTTCTCTTCGAACATGAAGCTCGACTACTTCCCATGTCAAGAAGACACAAACCAAGAGACCAAGACATGACTGTACCATAATCAAAGGATCTGACGAACAGGAAACCGGAAGAGGCGAGTTGATGGGAGATGCTTTACGTACATGAACATCTGGAACGCTTTGAGAGCTTCAGATGTTCAAAATGGAATCGTTTGTAAGTAGATGTCTCTAAATTGTGCACCTTGATCTATTGATCTTGAGCGAGTGACCTTTGGAATTAACCAAGTTGGCCTTCGCAGCAGTTGAGTACGTGCAACATTGCTGATCGCGTGCATCATCCACTACGAACTTGGGCTATAACTTTACGAAGTGCATGTGAAAAGCTGAGAGTATGGCAGACGTGGCCTCTGAACCAGTCGCCACCATGAGATCAAACCGAGACACGGCTCATCCGGGTGACATCCTGCACCAGGGCTGTGGCCATAAATCTCTTTTGAGTAGTGATGACTTATATCAGGTACGTTCTAGCAAATTGAAGCAGTTAACGCGATTGGCTGTGGGTCATTACGTTCTCTCAATCTAGAATATTCTTCATTTCAATCTCAGATATCTGCAGCAATTAAGCCTCACATTTATTCAAATGATCATGAGCATGAGAAGGTCGTTGACGAGTTCTTTACCTGCGTCCTACGTAAATGTAGACTGGAACTTTTCAAACCCCCATATCTGTAGAGCCTCTTCTTCCGTTCTTCGGTCGAAAAGTGATCATCGGATGGCCGCATCTGACAATTAACCATATTGACTCATGAAGCTATTTTCTGGACCCCAAGTCACTGTCAAAAATCTCGTATGTAGAAGTGGAGTAATTTCCTTTGAAGTACCGATTCAGAAACTAAAGGCTCTTCGTTGCGTGATCTGATCCTTACACCAAATACAAATTCGAGCATGAAATTTGAGGTCCGCTGTACATGCTAACTCGAGGAGAGCCCACTTTCGAATTGTGTGCAGTATCTTTTGAAGACAACTGTGTACCCAAGAGAACCTGCCTCCATGAAAAAATTGCGCGAGAGCACTGCGTCCCATCCATGGTATGGATGCATCCAAGAGGATATAGAATGCTTACAGTTCCAAGTGCCAGATTGTGATCGAGTAAAATAGTGAATTCTAATACAGCCTGATCTTCTTGAGCGCGCTGTCTACTTCTCAGGAACCACATGGCGACGGCTCCAGATGAAGGTCAATTAATTCAGTTCCTATTGAGGACAATGAATGCAAAGAACACCTTGGAGCTGGGTGTCTACACCGGGTACTCGCTTCTGGCCACCGCCTTGGCTTTGCCCGAAGAGGGAAAGGTTAGCTTCACATCAACTTTCTCTCTTCACTTTGCCTTCTCACTGTCTTTACAAGTTTCCATTCGAGCCGAGGAGCGAGCATATGGCCGCCTCTCACTAACGCTCGGAAACATGCAGTCGACCCATCTAGTCAATTGAGGTCCTTCGACAAAGCTGACGGCTGAAAGGGATTTTCACTTTTGTGCAGATCATAGCCGTGGACATAAGCAGAGAGGCGTACAATTTGGGACTCCCCATGATCGAAGAAGCAGGAGTAGCGAACAAGATCGACTTTCGTGAAAGCCCTTGCATGGATGTTCTCCAGGAGCTGGTCTCACAGGTAACAGGCTTGAGCACACCAAGAAGTTCTGATTTGAATTTAGTTCGCCACATCGGTACATAATTCTTTCTATAATTATCGAAGGTCGTGTTGCCTACACTAGGCCTGTAGAAAACATCATCCGATGCGAACTGTATGCTCAGCTGCCACTATGGCCCGGGGACACACCAAGCTCGGGTGTTCCCTGACGTCCACGTCCAATACTTCCTCATCGATATCGAGAGGAAATGCAGATAACGTCAACTACTTTGTTGCAGATTCGACCACAAAACAATAACTTCGCATTTTGTTGTTACGGTGAATGCATCGCAGGAAGCTTATCATGGGTTCTTCGACTTCGCATTTGTTGATGCCGACAAGAATAACTACATCAATTATCACCAACACTTGCTCAAACTGGTCAGGATCGGAGGTATCATCGCTTACGACAATACGTTGTGGGCGGGCGCAGTCATTGCCACAGATGACGAGCCGCTGCCCAGCTATATTCACTACTACAAGGGCTTCATCAGAGACCTGAATACTTACTTGGCTGCAGATTCTCGCCTTGAAATATGTCAGTTGACTGTCAGTGATGGTGTCACCTTGTGTCGAAGAATCGTTTGACTTAGCCTCGCCAACTGATACCTTTCGCTCTGAACAACAACAATGATATACTTCCTCCAGTCCATTGTGCACATTGCAGAGAATCTCGACCGATGGCGAAGTAAGCTGATCAATAAACTTCATCAGCTACGCGAGTGGCGACGAGAAGTTCTCCCTTACATGCACCGAATTACAATAGAAAAGTGCCATGGATATGTACTGCAAGGTCTAGGATGGTTTGGTATCCCTCAGAATGGATTGCCACTTCCAGCTTATACAGTACCGTGATACATCTATCGGGTACCATAAAAGAGCTCTGAGCATTTATACTTCCGTACTGTGTTGCACTGTCCGGAATCCTGGTTACAGTGACTTCCTTTTCCATTACGAAGTTAATTCAATGTCTACACTTTTATGGACTGTAGTCAAGTCATTTGTGTGTATGTGATCATTCACGTCATGGCACTGTTACCGCAAAAGAGCCCGCAGCATTTGGTTTTTCTGATTGGAAATGTGTAGAAACGACCGACAAATTCCAGTGCCTGTCAGAGAACAGAGAAGGAGTCCTTCAACGCCAACCAGGTGTAGATTGCAACTGCAGTCCGGTTTAAGCGAGATTTCGTTCAGAACCACAAGTTCAATCTTTCATGAGCACGCATATTGTGCAAGTCGAGTACGTTACTGAAGCGAATCGAGTTGTTTGGCAATCCGAAACAAACCGCTGTGTCAGGATACAATAGAGGGTACGCACATTAACCACGACTTGCTCGCGGGGTCAGTCTTCAGATATAACTGAGGGTCATCAGGGGACACAATGTGTCACATAGGAATGCGAGGCATGCGCTACATTCCAAAGGCGTAGTAGAGTCCCCAAAGAATCTCTAATCCGGAACTACTTGAAGTGTAGCCCGAAGTAAAGTGAAGAGAAATAGAGAGAGCTTGTGACAACAATGTAAATTTCCATATGTAAGATAAGATATGTAACGATGTCTAAGACACTGTTATATCAATAAAAACTATTACAAAGGATGCGGGTTAAAAGACTAACATAAACTAAGAGTAATTTATAAAATTTAACGTATTTAGTAGCCCAAGCAAATCATAATCAAACGTATTATTGAATTGACCTCTCATAATTTCAGACAAATTTAATGAATTTTTGAATTTCATTAAATTATGCTGAATGTATTGTCTTTTGGATTTGTAATGATGAAATCAATTTTTTAGTTCAAACATAGCTAATCAATCCATATCTAGATATATTGTATGTCATGCTACCCATTACATTTTAAATTCTATAATCAAATTGTTGCTTAGATTTACTTGAATCTTGTCCAAGTCTAAACACAACGTTTAAATAATTTTTAAAACATCATTATATCAATTTTTTAAATATAATTACAATCACTTCGTAAGTAACTTAGATTAAAATTTATACTCGTAATGCAGATTATGATATCATTCAGATGATATCACAATATAATAGTTAAAAAATCAACGATCAAAATTTATTTTCAAAATATGTTCATACTTTAAATCTTTTTGATTTTACGAATGATAAAGTGTATAAAAACAAAAAAAAATTAATATCAATTTTTTAGTTTTCTGAAAACTAAGTCAAATACAGATTGAAACAAAATGACATTGTATTTGAAATAAGTTTTTCTAGTGAAATGTGAATGAAAAAAGATACCAATTTTGTAATAATAAAAATAATCTAAATTTCAACATATAACAAGACATTAATTATTTTAAATTATGAAAAAATCGATATTATAATACGTTTTTCAATTGATTCAGATTTTTTAATTTATTAAAAAATAAGTATACAAAATTTTAAAATTTTTGAATCAATTTCAATAAAACAATCATTATCAATGCAGTGATAATAAATTTAATTAAAAATATATTGCTATGTATAATAACAAACTATACAAGCTGTACATTACATACACAATCACATTATATATTGTTGTTTATTTGAAATAATTTTGAACCAATATTATTTATTATTTTAAAAAATATGAAAAATCCAATCAGATTTATTATTTGAATAAAGGTTTTTTTTCCATGTCAATTTCGTAAAATAAGATGGGATTTTTTTGTGCAATTTTCTTAAATTTGAAATCAAAATCGAATTTTATATGATACTATCAAACACATGTAGATAACTAAATTCAAGTATTTTATTTAAAAAAATCTTTTAAAAGTAAAAAATTAATATTTGAAACTTGGATATATGGCTTACAATACTTGAATAACATTTTTTGATAAAAGAATATGTCTTGAATCAAATAGTGTGATCAAAAATTCAAATTTTAGATAAAAAATTATGACAAGCAAATGATCATTTTATTAAAAATTAATTATTTTTTCAGTATCAAAATACATTGAAAAATCTAGTATTCATTGGTACATGTTCAACTTTATGTATATAAGTGGATAAAATTTTTATAACAAAGATTATAAGAGTCCGGTCAAAACTATAAATCAAACAATCATTAAGAAACAGCATTAAGTTAATCAATCTGATTATTTATAAAAAAGTTTGATACATTTTATGTGCTTTCAAATAAGTTTTTAAAAAATTGTGAAATTGATCTAAAAATTAAGCAATATTAGAATAATCTAAAATCATTTTAATTTTACATTAAAATGTATAATAGATCAATTCTCACAATATTTTATAGAATATTTAAAATAAAGTCAATAATTTTTATATTTTTTAAATATAGAATGTTATATAAATATGTATAGAATCACCAACTATGCAATGCGCTTCATAGTGCTTCTAGTCGGAAAATAAATCACTCAATATTTGAGTGATTATATATACCAATATGATGTCATATATTTTGGCCAAAAAAAATAAAAAAACATTCTAAAAAGTAATAATTAATACCTGATATAGTTTTTTTTAAATATTTCTCATTTTTTAATGAGATTCATGTTGTTTGACAATCGATAAATTCACAAGAAAGAAAATCAACAACACACAAGATAAGTGATTGGTCATTCTAGTTACGTGCACAAGCAATAGAATGTATGACACAAAAGATACGAGGTTCACTGTTTTGGCTACGTTCAAAGATAAAATATTCGACACGACGAGCAGACTTGCAACACTAAATATACATAAAGACACACAGACTAACCAGCCAAAAATCTAATATGATTGTTCTTGTACATTATACTCACTGCCACCAATTGTGTGTCACTCACGCATTGTTGCTATTGGGATCATCGCTAACAATCTCTTCCTTAACACACATCGAGGGAACAACAACCTCCTTAGTCTATATAAAATCTCTACCGCAAATCCTACAATAAAACTTAACAAAGTCAACTCGTCAAACTAAAGCTAATTGAAAGTAAGTTGTATCCAAAACATGGTAGGATAAAGATATATAAAGGTAATATAATGTCTACTAAAGTTTTCCATAAATTCAATCAACACATCAGTTGGATTGAATATACCGTGAATCTTGACTAGTTCAATCATTTTATCAAAAACTACAGGTGTGATAAAATGATATTGATGTCAATGTGCTTCACTCTGTTATACATCATATCATGTGCAACAAAATATAATCCACTTTGGCTATCACAATGAAGCTTGACAACTTCATGTTTCAATTTCATCTCATTGATAAGCTTATTCAACAAAATAGCTAACTTTGCTATTTCTACTACCGCGACATACGCAACTTCTATTGTAGACTAAGCTATGCACTTGTGCAAGATAGATCTCAAAGTAATGCATTCACCATCAAGTGTAAACACATACCTAGATATAGATTTTTGTTGGTTTAAATTTTGTCCATAATCATCATCATTTAATAAGGATTTGATTTTGTCTAATAAACCATAATTCTTAGTATTCTCCGAATACCTTGGAATTTATTTCACTGCTCCCTAGTGCACATTCCTTGGATTTGACATGCATTTGGTCATCTTGTTCATTGTTAGAGCAATATATGACCTTGTGCATACCATCAAATACATGAGGTTGCTCACAATTTTGCCAGAGGAAACACATGACATCTTTACTTTCTCAATGGCAGCGGTTGGACATTGAGAAGCAAAAATTTTAAAATGTGGTGCCAAAGTAATCCAATTTTCTATAGAGTTTGTCATGTTTAACGTATGAAGTACATGTTAAATAAAATTGATTTGATTCAATCATAGACTCTTTTTCACCAAATTCCTATGAGTTTTCATCGCTATTATTTTCTTATACTTATCCAAATACTTATTCTTGAATGCAGACTTCAATTGGTTCTTGCATCTGTTAACATTGGATTGGTTTTATGCCAAGATGAGCATGTCATTCACATAAAATATTAAATGATAAGATTGAAGATTTCATTATTCACTTGGCTTTCAAGATACTTTTTTGTCATTTGCTCGATTGTTTTTCAGCTTGTATACCCACTTGCAATCGATCAAAACTTGATTTTTAAAAAGCTCAATCAATATACAAATCTTATTATTAACCAACAATTGCATCTCCAGCCTCATATGAGCATTAAACTCAAATTAATTGACAGAATTTTGAGCTTTTGTCAATTAGCTTGAGCTTCTCTTTAGGAGAAAGATTCTCTTTCTTGTAAGATCAATGCAATGTCATTTTCATCAACTCTATCAATGTCATCTTCAAGAATGAATAAAATCAACGCATAATTCAAACCTTGCAGGAGATCTATTAATTTGATTCAATGATCTTCTAGTAAGAGATTCTGGTTGATCTTTATCGTCTAATACATATACTTAAGTATCACTAACAATAATCTGCTACTCTAATTCTTGTATTTCAAGAATTTGCTTTATGTGTAGCGGAAGTTTTACTTGTGTCATATCATTGATCACATAATGATCAATCCTACTCTCAATAACATTTGTGAATGAAGATGTTTTCTTCTGAATATGAGTAAACTGAAAACTCTTCCACTCTTTCAATGATTTGAACTCATTGAAAAAATTATAACTATTGAAAATAACTTTACAAACTCCTTGGACCTTAGAACGTATAATCATTCATATCATTGGTGCGAGATATCAACTTCAATTATATTTTGTTTTTTAGAGGTTTTTATTATTTAGTTCTCAGCTTGCTAATGTGTCAATATTCTGTGAACTGTATAGGAATTGACGGCTTTCATTCATCCTTATATGATGTTTATAAATATTTCATTTGTGTATATGAACGGTGATTTTTGTTGGTTTTGGAAATTCAAATTCCTACAATTAAATTATCCAAGGAAACAACACTTCTAAGATGTAGCATCCAACTTGATCATATTCTTCTTAGATATCAACAAATAAATAGTATAACTAAAAATTCTCAAACAACTATAATACATCATCTATTTGTGGCTCAGTTCAAAAATTGTCAAGAAATTGATTG